TGTATGTCGGGTATTTACCACACGTGTACAAATTTTCCATAATATTAATAAAAATGTAGGTATAGGTTAATATAACAACCATTACGCTTGAAAATAAAAAGTAAATTAAGTGTGTATGTATTTATATTATTAAATTTACAAGTACCCGACCTACTGCCGTAAATTATTGATATATAATATAGGTCGGGTATGGACATCCTTTTAACATATTGGTATTTATTGAGTATTAAGGCTTAAAGAAAAAGGAAGTATAATACTTACCAAAAAATAAGAATGTCCCCTTATGGATTCACCGTAATTAAAATATAACTGAACAAAAATGCCACACTTCCACAACGCGGTATCTCCGGATATGCACTGCGTAGGCAGATAGGTACCAACCAAACATTTTAAAACGCATTTCGGTTATTACCAGTTTTTTCAGTCTATTTTGCCAATATTGGTGTAATTTAACTTTAATTGTGATACAATGTGCACTAGTAGTGTAAAGAAAAAAGAGCTCTTAGTAACATCAAAACAAACAAAGAAATTGGCATGCACTGTAGTGTACATTTTGTCACTATTTAACACATCAGGGGGTAATAAACACTCGCATTAAGTTTTTCTACCCTTTTGATTTATTTTAATAATAAATAGTGTGAATGTACCAATGAATAATGTTCATATTCTTTAAATGTGTTTAATAAAGTTAATAAGCACTAAATGCTACCTAGTGTATTTTGTAGTGTAACTTTTTACACTTACAAATCAACTCTAATATTTTTATCCCTACACTAAAAAAATTACACGGGCAAAATTTTTTACTTTGTATGGTACAGTAGAAATTTCACTGAACTATTAATTAATAGGGTCATTCCATGACAAACGATACACTGTTCAAAATTTCATGACCATTTTAACACCAAATTAACACCATACATGGTCTATATCGATACAAACCAAAATGGTGTTAAATATGGTTCGTTGGTCCACTGTAAATTCAAATACTAAAATAGTGTAAATTTAACTTTAACACAGTATTAAAATAAATTTTACCTGGTGTAAATTGAACTCCTTTTCAGTGTTAAATATTATGTGTTTTTGGTCAAATTAAATCATACTAAACAGAAAAAAAGGAAACAGGAAGTACCAGTGGTATTATTACAGAAAATTGAACCTTCAACTCGCTAGAGTGCCTTTCACAAACTTAAAATACTTCAAGTATTGACAGCTGCTTCCTCCTATTTAAGGTCTCATTAGTATCGAACAACTTGTAGTGTCACACCAAAGCAAAGGACTACCTGAGCTTATATACTCTTCATGTAAGTCAACAGAGGCGAGATTTAAGAACATCACGTGATCCACACCGCCTTTGCCGCGATCGGTACACACTATGCAACAAAGAATGCACGGCAAATTGTTTTAATCGTTTTAACAGAGTGCTTTAGGTTGAAGTAACTCTTATTTTACAAGCAACATATTTAGTAAACTGAACCATACAGCGGGTTGGTTTCACTAAAGTTTTCTGGGTTAATTTAACCAATTAAAAAAAAATAACTATCGGGTTTAGTACCGTCAAACCAATCTTTGTTTATATTAACCTTCCCAGAGTTGATTTAAATAAATACTTATAGGTCAACTAAATTAATATAGTTAAATGAACTATTCCTTTTTTTCTGTGTAGGTGCACTTCTCAAATATTTTTAGATAAACACCGTTTTGGTGTTTGCTGTATATAACATTTTCAACCATAATTCATGGTGTTTATATTAACACAACTTGGTGTTGGATTTTGACACCATTTTAAGATTACTCTTTACACCACAGATATTTTAAACAGTGTACAGAGGATAAAACATTAAATATGTTCTTTTCGCGTTAAATCTGATCTGATTATTTGGTCATACGAATTTATTACTTTAAAGTATAATTCTTCTATTATTAATCGCAAGGAATGGTAAGTACTTTACAGTCGTTCGTATTAAATATGTTTTAAAATGGTGCTTAAAATGTTGTCCGTATAAATGAGCTAACTATGTCGACAAACTCATTTTAGACGCCGATGTCCATTACGTAAGCGTTAAAAGCTTTGTCACTTAATTCGAATATACTTTGACCAGCATATGTGTATGTATGTATGTATGTATGTACATGTGAAGTGTACTTACTTTTAATGCAAGAAACATATGTACAGGCCTGAAACTCGCTTATTAAATACTTAAATGTTACACTGGTCAACAGAAAAACAGTCTGAGTCATATAATTAGGTGGTAACGATTTTCTAAATATAATATATAAATATAAATTACTCTTTGCATATGGGTCATTATCAAAATTCTTGTACATTTAAAAAAGTAAAAAGTAAAAACAAACTTAATCTGCAAAACTGTTTTTTTTTTCAAATTTTGTTTATTGACGGGTGTTATTTAACACCTAAAAGTGGGCAGTTGGGTTTTTGGACAAATTAAAAAAACTTATATAAAGAAGCTTAATCATTTTGAAAATATATTTTTTTGATTGTCAATAATCCTTTTAAGGTTTTATTTACACTGGGATTTGTTAAAAAAAAAGATAAATTTATTATTTATAAAAAAAATTGAGTACAAAACTAAGTAAATCCAAAAACTGTTCTATTTGATAACTTTCTTACATACATACATAAGTATATACTTAATACATTGCCGCAAGGGGGCAGCACCAAAAAATGTGCGCTCAATTCAAAAGGTCATTTATAAAAGCTGTGACCCAGGAGACGTGACCTAGGGGTCCAAAATTAAGGGACAAACTTTAGGGGTTATTTTAACCACTTGTATTTTTAAAAATTCCCACAAATGTGCTTTTTCTGTAATATTTGGAATATATTCTCAACTATATAAAAAAAGGAGGATGTTATTTTACTTTAAGGTGTTTAAATAGCATTAAGTAGTGAATATTATTGCAAGTGGGACAGCTACTTTTCCCTATTGTTGGGGAAAGTTTAATTTTTTTTATTGGGTTAAATTTAAAATTTTATAATTGTTCAGAAAATATCGGGAATTTTCGTTTTTTGAAACAAATATTTATTTATTCGTCTACATTAATGTTGTCGCCTTCAAAATAGTCCCCATTGGATATTATGCACATGTGCCAGCTCTTCTTCCAATACTCGAAACACTATAAAACTCAATCTTTGGGATAGCCTTTAGTTCTTTCAGCGATGCGCTTTTAATGGCATCTATGCTTGCAAAACGACGGCCCTTTAAGGTTCTCTTTATTTTTGGGAATAGGAAAAGTCAGACAGAGGCATGTCTGGCGAATATGGAGGCTGGGACATCTTTACAGTATTGTTTTTGGCCAAAAATTTTGTTCAAAATTTAACAATTTTAAAACAAATTTTGCTGCCACGCGATTCATACCCAAAACATTCGAAAAAATTTTATGGGATGAGCCAATCGAAATACCAACATCATCAGCGACTTCTCTGATAGTTTATAACCATTTTTTCCACTTTTTCCATGTTTTTATCGGTTGTTAATGGGCTTGTGCGTTTGGGGCGTTCGTCATCTTCAACGTCTTCACGGCCATCTTGGAAACTCTTAAACCACTTGTAAACTCTTGTTTTACTTATAGCAGACCCACTATAAGCCTTTGTTAACATTTCACAGGATTTATTTAATTTTTTAAGCAAAATTGGATACAAATTCTTTGATCCATTTCTTTTAACGAACGAAAAATCGCCGAGCTCATAAAACACGTCTAACCGTAGCGGCTGCCACAGACAAAGTAAACAATGAAAACAACTAAAGTTTTTATCATACTTCGGGGGCATGTATACCAACATAATAAAAAAAAATTTATGACGACCGGACCCTCCGAACCCGCGAAATTTAACAATTCCCGTTATTTTCTGAACACACCTCCTATAGATGATAAAACCAATTAAACCAATTCATTTCGCTTAGTAAAGTTCCAAATGGCGTTAAACTATAAAATATTAAAGTTGAGGGACAGCAAATGTAGGTACTTCCAAGAAATTTGAAAATAACCCATATAGGAAATAAATGAATTTCCGACACTCTATAAGTTTCTAAGTATAAAAACATTTGTCGGGGACAGTGAACTGGGTTGATAAAAATAGAAAAATATTGTTTTCTTTAGGTAAATTTATTCACATTTTCTAGTGCTTCTTTCATTGAAAATGTATTTAAAATTTGGTAAACAAACTAAAATTGAAAACAGAGTGGACGTAAGTACAAATAAATATTTTCAATCTTTTTTTTAATGCTAAAATGTGTAAACATATTTTATTATTTTAATATAGAAATACAATATTATTAAATATGTAGTTTCATATTTTCCGCCATTTTTGTAGAATCTCCGACCTAGCTATTTTTTTAAAATTGTATCCCGCTCTTTTTTTGGAGTTTCAAATAGATTATGATATTGTGATTTCAACAATATGCACATTTATACCATTTGAGCTAATGGTTTCGGAGATATTCTCCTCATACTTTCCTCCTTATAGGAGGATCGGGGGTAACTTTAAAATTTCCAATGGGACACCCTATTTTTTTATTGCAGATTAGGATCATTCGACTAAAAATAGGAAGATTTTGTCAAAAACTGTTTTTATATTTGTAATAGATTGCGCTGAAATGAAAAAAATTTTGATCGATTTTTCTTCTGTATACGATTCTGCAATAATTTGTCTATAAAAATAACACTTTTTTTTGGTAATAATTATCTTATTAAATTAAATAATATTTAGGTTTCCTTTGGTTTAACTTTTATACATTATTTCATTCGGTGATAATTATCAATTGCCCACCATGGTCACTTTTTACCTGCCAGCATTAAATCCTTTAATCCCTTTGAATCATTTAATTTTTATTTTAAATTTTTTTTCGTAAAATGCATACTAACTGAGATTGTTCAAGTTTCAAGTTAAATAACTTACCATGTATATGGTTTACTACGCCTATGTCTTAATAAGATCGAACAATAAATTAGGCCCAATTAATTTAAAATGCTTATTTTGATTCGTTCTCATGTAAGCATCGCATATTCATTTCCTAGTTGTTATTTAGTTTGTTTGGTATAAACTCGACTTGCGTGCCACTGACCATTGAATAAAATTCAGGACTAATGGCCTACTAAATATCACCTTTAACATAAAAAGTTGGGTAAGTGACACTTTATTATTAAGTGCTTGAAATTGCCGATAAAACTACAACTTTTATATATGTATATATTAAAAAAAAAGCCAATTGGGCAGATTTTTTTTAGTAGAACCTTTTAAAGATTGCTTTAAACCTATTTTTTTTGGCTACACTTGTTGATTTGTCGCTTTATTTGAATGGAAAACTTATTTCAGATTTAACTTTTTTACTTGCAATGACAAAACTACCATTGATGAGTTACGAAAGCAGATTTCTTAAAGGGAACCTAATGACGTTTAAAAATTACACAAGCAAAATTAATTTTCGCCGGGATTTTTTTTTGAATTTCATTTTAATTATAACAATCATTTAGCTACTTGAGAGTCTAACGAAAGGATCCTAATTTCAGCGTAGCAGAATTTAACTTTATTCTTTTTATATAAAAACAGATTAATTAGGATTTTTTTAAATTAATAATTAGACGTCAACTGTGCAAATAATATAAATATTATATTTTTGTTTCAACTTGAATTTCACGAAATATAATTTGCAAAAGTTGACGAAATATTATATAGTACCTATATATATATTAAAGAACTAATGTCATAAGACGTCATTTTGTCGCACGCGGACAATTTATAATGTACTATGCTCCACACCTCAAAGTCCCACCATGTGACCACGTACGGAACGCAGTCTTTTGAAAATTTGGCATTTAAGGCTTTTCAGGTTATGTATCTGTCAAAGTATAGTATATAGTATATAGAATATTATGTTTGGGCGTTAAAAATGTATAAATCTTTATAACATTACAATAACAATGGATGGTTTAAGAATTTAAGAATATAAATACTGCATTTAATGAAATTCTAAAGTGTATGGTGCCAAATTAGTAATATTTTTGTGCATTTGGTCCAAATATCTGGTTTTCTCCATAAAATAATTTTAACTAAACAGCATTTATTTAAAAAAATCTAGCTTCTCTATTATGGAACAAGAATATCTGTTTTAAAGGTAGGTTAATATATTATAACAAAAATATCATCTAATTTTGTAATTTTAAGGTTAGAAAAATTTATTTTGACCAAAATAAATAAGTATTTTGGATTATTTAAAAGACTGTATAATATGGTATTTAAAAATGTGGTAGTTTTCCTTATCCAGCTTACATAAAGTTTTGTCAATACAAATAGTTAAAAAGCTTCGACTGAATTTGATCTACATCAAAAAATCATTATAACTTTAAAAATTTTAATAAATCCCATGTCATGAGAGTATTAAATATTTTCACATTGCAAGTTTCTCTAAAAATTGTTTGTTTTCTTATAATCTAACTTAAAGTAAGTATGCCGAGAGGTATGCACAAGTTTTGTCGTTAGAAGTATAAAAGCTTCAATTTAATTTGAACTATATTCAACAATTATTTAGTATACCTATATTTATTTATGACCATATTAACACACTCTTTCAAATAATCCACTTATTTATTTTGGTCAAAATAGATTTTTCTAACCTTAAAATACAAAATTAGATGATATTTTTTGTTCTAATACATTAACCTACCTTTGATACAGATATTCTTATTTCATAATAGAGAAGTTAGATTTTTTTTAATAAATGCTGTTTAGTTAAAACTATTTTATGGAAATGTAGACCCAATGCACAAAAATGTCACTTATATTGCACCTTACACTTTGGAATTTCATTAAATGCAGTATTTATATTCCTAAATTCTTAAACCAACCATTGTTATTGTGATACTATAAAGATTTATTAACTTTTAACGCTTAAACATAAGCGGTAACACTATAAATATTATTTCTTTCATTGACTATACTTTGACAGATACATAACCTGAAAAGGCTTAAATGCCAAATTTTCAAAAGACTGCGTTCCGTACGTGGTCACGTGGTGGGACTTTGAGGTGTGGAGCATAGTACGAGTGCGACAAAATGACGTCTTATGACATGAGTTCTTTATGCAATTATATATATTTTGCAAAAATTCTATAAAAAAATAATATTATACCTTATGTAATTCATTTATGAAAAAATTCCCAAAACTTTAGATTTTTTTTATTTCAAATCTTATAATGATAATTTGCTGATGCTTCCACCACTTTCCCCCCACTACATTAAGCACATTTATCTATTAATTTTATAATCTACGGTAGGTAATGTTCTGTTCATAATTTTACAATAAAGGTTTTTAGATGATACATTCTGAAAAGTATAGGTAATAAATCAAAATAAATTTAAAAAAAGGAGGATTAAAGTTTTGAAATATTATATATATATTGTAATTTGTAGAGTTGTAAATGTGTTAATATTAAAATAATAATTGAAATTTGCATTTAACATATTGCATGTGTTATTCCAATTAAAATAAATGTAAATCGCATAAATTATAACTGACCCAGTGGCGTAGCTATGTACATGTTTAAAAAGAAGTGTAAGTAATTTATTTTTTTGTCAAAAAAAAAACAATGGAGAAACCAAATTTTCTAAAAAAATTAAAAGATAAAAAATAGAAAAAAGTAATTATAAATTATAATCATAAATATATACAGAGTGGCTCAAAAGTTTGGAATATTAAGTAACATTTTAAAAATCAAGAAAATTAAAAAATGTTTACAATTACACTCACAGGCAAAATAATCGATCCACACAAATTTTCAATGGCAAATAACTTTTTTATTTGATGTCGGATTTAAACGAATATTAAAGAATAATGTAGATAAATTAATGGACAATCGCTCACATTTTAAAAAATAACTAAAAAATAGACGTACGTTTATAATATACAGGTTTAAACAAAAATATGTTTTTTTACCATACGTTTAAGACACTCTGTAGAGTGGTAAAACCGTATATTGTTCTAAATTAAGTTTTATTTATCAAGTCATATATTATTAACAATTTTGTTTTTGGTTCACCTCGATATATTTATTTTTGTGGAAAATATGGATTTTTAAAAAAACATTGCAATTTCCAATATTTTTCTGTATGAAGAACTAAGGTTGCTATGGTCCATCCATAGCCTATGGAGGATGCCAGTGACAGTTTTGTTGAATCATCCCATACTTAGACATGTCATACACGGCTTTCAAAAGCTATCAAATTGTTTTTTGCAAATTAATGTTTAAATTTTGAGGTGTATTCTTACTTTAAAAAATGGATATGTCTCCGACTGATGTTGCCAGAGCCATTAATTTAATCCAGGATGGACGGTCACAGTATTACGTGGCAAGTGTTTTAAACGTCACAAGAAGTAAAGTACAAAGGGCAACATCAGTCGGAGATATTTTTAAAAGTAAGAAGACACCTCAAAATTAACACATTAATTTACAAAAAACAATTTGATACCTTTTGAAAGCTCTATATGACATGTCCAAGTATGGGATGATTAAACAAAACCGTCACTGTCATCCTCCATAGGCTATGGATGAACCATAGCAACCTTAGTTCTTCATACAGAAAAATATTGGAAATTGCAATGTTTTTTTAAAAAATCCGTATTTTCCACAAAAATAAATATATCAAGGTGAACCAAAAACAAAACTGTTAAAAATAGATGTGACTTGATAATTAAAACTTAATTTAGAACAATATACGGTTTTGCCACTCTACAGAGTGTCTTAAACTTATGGTAAAAAACATATTTTTGTTTAAACCTGTATATTATACATAGTAATTTTTAAAATGTGAGAGATTCTTCATTAATTTATCTACAATATTCTTTAATATTTGTTTAAATCCGAAATCAAATAAAAAAGTTATTTGCGATTGAAATTCATCGAAAATTTGTGTGGATCGATTATTTTTCCTGTGAGTGTAGTTTATTTCAAATTTTGCGGGTAACATTATTAGTTACACTCAATCAATAGACAAATCACAATTTTAGAAAAATTGGTAACCGATATAATACATATAATACAGGCAATTATATCCTAATTAATATAATACGACGCGTGGTCACACATGTTGGCCGTTGGCATGTTAAATTAATTAAAATTTTTTGCAAGCAGGAAGCCGAGATTTGATGCCCAAGTTTGAAACAGAAGTGCTGTGATATCCGGATGGACCAATCATGTGTATTCGGACTAAATTTAAGACTGAAGTCTTGAAAAATGTGCCTGTTTTAGTTTTGTTGTTTGCTGCTTTCATCAATACCGTGCATTCTCAAAGCGGTGAGTACATATTTTATAGAATCAGTTTTTATATTTTACAAAATATAATTATTTTTTATAACCATTTTTCTAAATACACTGCCCGTCAAAATTAACGAATAATAAGTAAAAAAAACTCTAAAACGCCTTTTTCAATCTTTATGAAATTTTGTATAAAAATACTTTAACTTATATCTCAGTTTACGTGTTCAAGGGTTTTCCTTTTTTTTAATAATAAAAAAACGTTTAAAATAACTTTTAGGAATTTTTTTAAGTAAATAAAAAATATGCTGTTAAAGACCGTATTTTTGTTAGAATACCCTGAAAATTTTGTACAAATCAAACGAACAGTAACAAAAATATAGCGCTTCAAAGTTGTCAAAAATGACCACTTTTCAGCAAAATAATCAAAAAGGGGCCATTTTTACCGACTTTGAAGCGATGTATCTTCGTTACTGTTCGTTTGATTTGTACAAAATTTTCAGGGTATACTAACAAAAATACGGTCTTTAACAGCAAATTTTTTATTTACTTAAAAAAAATCCCTTAAAAGTTATTTTTCGAACGTTTTTTTATTATTAAATAAAAGGGCTTTAAAAATATTTTCTCGAAAAACCCTCGAACACGTAAACTGAGATATAAGTTGAAGTATTTTTATACAAAATTTCATAAAGATTGGTAAAGGCGTTTTGGAGTTAGAATTTTTTACTTATTATGCGTTAATTTTGACGGGCAGTGTATATGGCATATGGCAATCTATAGTACGCCGTTTTAACATTCATAATTTTATTATTTAAAATGTTATTGGTTTAAATTTTCCTAACTAACAACATTTATAAATTTAAAATATTTTTATCATGTATCATGTATTAAAAGACAAAATATAGTATATTTAATATACTAAAAGTCCACTTATGTATTAAACAATATTATTTCCAATCAATTTTTGCAAAAATTTAGAACTATCATTTTTTAATAAAAATTATTTCTTAGTATAATTTATTTGGGCAGAATTTTTTAAATCTGTACATATTTTATAATAGTATATTATGTATCAAGTTTGATAAATGCCATTTTATACACGAATTTAATTAAGGCACGAGCGAGCTTGCGAGCGAGTGCTTAAAATAATGAGTGTATAGAAAAGTTTATAAACGAGGTGCATTAGGGTGGGCCAAAAAAACTCGATATTTTTTTTTCTAGCTCTCCACCCAAAATATCGTAGAATATGTCCGAACAAATATTCTGTTAAAAGCTCATAATTTCAATTTTAAGAGGTCCTTAAATAACACAGAAAACTGACTTTTTTACCTTATTTATTAATGCAACCTAGGAAGAATTTTTTTTCATAAAATCCATGACTAATTCTTACAAAGCATTAAATTTGGACAAAAAAATCTTATTAAGCCGAATTTCTATTTTCATTATTTGATTTTTTACAGAGCTTTAAATTTAAAGTTAATAATACAAAAATGATGACTTTATACGCCTGTAACTTTTAGAATATTGACGATACAAAAAATTCGCCTAAAACTTTTTTGTGGTCCATCAGACAAGCTAAAAAATTTCCATTTAATTTTTTCGTCTAACTTCAATAGTTTAGCTGAAAAAGGCAAAAAACCTAAAATTTTAAATTTAAAGCTCTGTAAAAAATCAAATTATGAAAATAGAAATTCGGCTTAATAAGATTTTTTCGTCCAAATTTAATGCTTTGTAAGATTTGGTCATGGATTTTATGAAAAAAAAAATTTCTTCCTAGGTTGCAAGAATAAATAAGGTAAAAAAGTCAGTTTTCTGTGCTATTTAAGCGGCAAAACTTCAGATTCGATAAAGGACCTCTTAAAATTGAAATTATGAGCTCCGCTTTTAACAGGATATTTGTTCGGACATATTCTACGATATTTTGGGTGGAGAGCAAGAAAAAAAAATATCGAGTTTTTTTGGCACACCCTAAGGTGCATACTATACTTTTTCCACGACAAATACTTATTATTATCTTAAAATGATTTAAATCAAAAATTTGTATAGAGCGCCATCTATGAAACAATAGGGGAATCTGTGTGTCACCGTCAAATGTCAAATTTTTCTATTTTATAAACACAATTATAAAGGTTATAAATCGAAATGTATTTCTTGAAAATTGACAGTTTTTCACATTGAAAGTAAAGAAAATGTTTTATGAGCACTTTACATTGGAGTCCGTGTCCGAATTTAAGTTATAGTTTACTGCCGGCGAAATTAAAAGGTCAGTACAATGTTCATATAAACTTTTCAAATATTGGCGTTGGGAAACTATTTAATACTTTTGTATTTTTGTATTGAGATAATAAAATAATTTTCACATTTAGTATTATTTTACAAGAAAGGCACTTTATTTTAATGATTGTATGACATTTGACAACTGTCAACTAACTTAAAACAAACTTCAGCCCGTGACTAAAAACCTGTTGCTAACTTCAGCCCGTGAGTGCCTCGTCAGTAAAGTGTATATTTGGCGCCCAACTAACAATTTAAGTTTTTTAATTGCTGTAAGAACGTTTATAGAACATATAGCAGCAGTAAAATAATTATATAGCAGCAATAAAATAATTATAAAATATATTAGTTCTTTAACAATGTCTAATTGTTAGTTGGGGCGATAATATGTGCTTTTTCCGCCTGGTCTATAATGTACTTTGGGTAATTTTTTTACGATTACCTTTTAATTTCACTTTCACTTGAATGATCTGGGATTTTAGGCAGACTATAAATTTATTAAAACTTAATTTTGTAATAGTCCACTAAAACCTTTTGGCAACATTTCATGTTGAAACTTTTATATATACTCTGGGGTATTAAAATTTACTCAAATATTTAAATGCGGTTATTTTTGCGTTCTTTGATCTAATAAAGTTAATATTAATGTTTATAACAGTGGCGGCGCGTCGTATAAAGCAACTGAGGCTGGGCCTCACATGTTAAAATTATAATAAAATTTGAAATTTTCGATACATTACTTATTTAAATATAAAACGTTTTTAAACTAATTTCCAATCATTAAAAGTATCAAAACATCGAATAAAAGTTTGAAACATTTCCTTTACATTTAGCGCGCACCCCTTCCAACTTTAATTCTAAACGCTTAAATCATTGCCCGACCGCATAATAGGGAAATAGTAACCCCATAAATTTGCGCTTCATATACGTCACACATTGCCGATACAACATCATGCTCCCCACCGCTGCACGGTGCCGCCGGCACCCCCGCAAGGCGGGGATAATACGCGAATTTTTGTAGACATTGAGGCCCACAAAGTTGGGCTTGTACCACAGTATATGGAAGACAGCAGAGTCAGTCCCGAGATAAAAAACTGGGCGGGGCGTGGAATGTTTTAGTAAACAAAGCTTATTAATTAGATCTATGCGTATTTATAGTTTCTTATTTCTGTTTAGTCTTTGCCTTGGCGTTAAAATGGAAAGTGGTGATAAAAATGCAAGCGTAAAATACATTATTGTGTTGTGAATTCATGTAAAAATAATTATAATAATAATAAATAATAAGACATCATTACAAATTACAATCCCAAAAACGGGACTTAAAACTTTAATTTTATATTATTTAAGATTTGTTTTTGGAGGTTACCTAATAGTTTAAAACAACGATTTAGGACACCATGTTTAGTCAAATACGTATCTAATAAAAACATATTTTTAAATAAAGAATTTACTTTTTACGTTTTTGTTGGATTAACCACATATGAGGCTAAATGAACTTGTTCACATGTCTAATATTTCCTGTGCAATGGGGATCTAAAATGTCACCGATCTCGCAAATAAAGTAAAAATTAAAGTGACCTTTCATTTCAGCGAAACATATCAAATTCGTACTACGACTTTTTCACCCATACTCTTCGTTAAAAGTTTTGCTAAAGCTTTTCGTTTAACTGCTCGCAGAAATAACATACTTGGAAAGTTTTTTCGTAAAATAAATGCAAAGTTTGTGTTATCTTTAAGTAAGCGGTAAATTCGAAGCCCGGGATTCGAACTTTTAACACTCTATCTGCTTAGCAAAAATTGATAAATTTGAAAGTTTATTAGGTTTGGTCCAGCGCGGCAGTAAGTATACTCAAACAAACTAAATTTTCCGAAAGTTTCCCACTGTATTTTATGCTATCTATAAATTTATATTATATGTGGGTAAAAAGTAATATCGCCTACACCTGTTGCTGTTTCCCATGTTAATGGCAAATGATTGTTATTTTCAATTATCGAAATCATTAATTTTATCATTAGATATTAATACCAAAGCACGTGTAATGATGTACCTTTTAATTATTGGGGAGTTATCACATGATGTTGAAAAATATGAATCAAATATACAGGGTGCTCAGAAATTTCATTATTTATTATTGTATATAAACTTTTTTTGTATTGTATTGGAGAAACTCTTCCAGATGCAGAAACGCATTGATAAATATAGTTATTATTATTTGTCCAAAACAACAGTTCTATACCGTTTACAAAAACGTTTTGTGGTATTAATAAAACCCTAATGGTATTATTCATAGAAATTTTGTAAATTTTACAAATCCCTTTTGGTTTAAAATTAAACTTTTTTTATAATATTAATAAAATTGATGTAAATTATTATATTATAACAAATTAATTGTTAATTCAATAAACTATTTTCATTCTAACAATGGTCACATTTTCAACCTACTCACGGTGGTCAAAACTAAAGTATAGGACGAACAAAAATGCCAACCAAAACTGATAGCATAATCTGATTATAGACTCTTTTGGTAACACAAAAATGTATTTATCAAAATCCCAGCTGATCCTTTATTAAAGTTTTGCATATTTCTTAGTATTTTAAAATTGTTTATGCCATTTCGATAAAATACTCTAGTACCATTATCAAATGTTTTTAAAAATTTGGCAGATACATGACTGAAATATGGATAAATTACAAATAATAAAATACAAAATATTGTAAAATACAGTTTGCAATATCTTATTTATTGCTATAAGGTATCTAATACAAAACTAATAAATAACTAAAGATTCTTTGAAGCAAAATCGATTACTGCTTGCGTTAAATTTTCAGTAAAACTTTTTCTTGGGTTTTACATGAAATTGTTTTTAACATGGAAACAGTATTTTTAAATTCTTCAGTCTCTGTACAAACATGCTTCTTACATTTAGCGATATCCCCTAGAAAGGAAGAGCATATCAAAACTTTAGTTCGTTCGTCCGTCCTCTTCACTTAAAAATTTTGTATGCCCTTTATATCTTGCCATTTTGCAGATAAAGCACATACATTCTTGGCTGCCGCGAAATTCTCTAGCAATTTCTAAATTTTGAAAATTTGGCAATTGTGGCTATGGAAAAATACCGTTTTTACCATATTGAAGTAGGTAATTTTAAATCACTTAAGTTAAAGTGTTCGTTTGAAAAAGTCTGCAGTAATTTTTATATTATCTAAGAAACCCTAAACTCTGAATTTTTCGATTACCAAAAACAATTTTGTCTCCACAGACAGCACATACCTTCTTTCGATTTTCTTCATGGCTTAACTTGAATTTCGGTTTAATTTTCATTTTAAAATACTATTTTTAACTTTATAAAGTATACATTAAATAAACAACTAAAGCAAAATGTCACTTGCTTTATAACGTATAGCAATTTTTTTTCTTAACCACCTTAATTATTGTTTTACAAAATTTGCAAGTTGTAATTAATTCATAGACAAACTTCCAGTATTTTTTGTTATAAAAAATATTTAAGATATAAATCTTCGTTTTTTTTGTTATGTTTTGTTTTGAGTGGTAAAAAATAATAGGTGACTCAATAAATTAATACTGGGGAGTAAAGTAATTTAAATGATACAAAGTTTATTATTTTGCTTAATTTTATTAAAATTGTACAGGTAGTTTCAGGACAATAATTGCAAAATAATATATAGAAATAGAAAATCAAAAAAAGTTTGCAAAACTTTAAAATAGGATCAGCTGGGATTTTGATAAATACATGTTAGTGTTACCAAAAGGGTCTATAATCAAAATATGCTATCAGTTTTGGTTGGCATTTTCGTTCGACCTATACTTAAGTTTTGACCACCGTGTAAAGTATTTCTTATTGCCATAACAATATGATAACAACTATTACTTTGTTGGATGAACTTTTTTTTACAAAAGCTCAACATTGCTGCTTCATTATAGTAAATGAGAATTTTATTAACAGTAAAAAAAGTTTATTCTGTAAATAAAAATAATCTCATTACTTTGACAAATCGTAGGTTTTTGTCCCAATAAGGCACTGAAAATTTGATAAAAAAGGTACATTTTTTTATAGTCATTACAATTTTAAATTTAATTTAAATAATATTATTTTATTAATCGCTTACAAAATTAGTTTTATTATCAGTGCATGTACATTTTAAAATTGCATTGCATTGACTAAATAATTTTATTTAGGCCATTATCATTAAAAATTACATAGTTCAATATTGTCAATAAAAATTGATTTGTTACAGATGAAATAGTTGACCTTATCACCGAAGCAAACTTATGGTCTGAACCCGCTGGTATTAAGCGAATACTGGGAAGATGCTTGAACAACACCCAGGACCGGGAGCCGGATAAAGAAGAATGGGCATACAGATTCGGAGAAGGGGCCCAAGTTTCCCTTAATACGCATGACCACTTCTCCAAGGGCTTTCCGTCGAATTTTTCGATATTAATTGTGGCAAGGCCAAAACCAGGTACAGATTTTGTCTAAAATATTTTTTCATATTTGTAACAGATGGCGATGTAATGAAAAAAAATCAATTTTATTATATTTTTCTTCTGTATACGATTCTCCAATAATTTTTGAATTAAATAGTATGTTTTATTTTTTAAATTTATTTATTTATTTCGTTTTAATATTCCAAATCTCTAGATAGTTCTCGTGTGCTTGCATAAGGATTAGCGGCCGTAGCTGCTAATACATTAATTTCATTATTTCCACCTGTGACTGTTGCTCGACGAACTCATAGAGAATTAAAAAATTAAGTATAATTTAAATATTTTACTTTCTATAATATACTATAAATTTTTAATATTTGGATTACATGAATAGTGAAATAGTCAATAAAATTGATTGATTTTATACGTGGAATACCCAGCAACATTTAAATTATTTGAATTTGAAACGACCGCAATTTAAACTAATATTTATAGCTGGATGATTGGCTCAGAAGCATGCCTGAACTAACTTAGACTCACGATTGGCGTTAGCCTTGTTGTCTCGTTCTATTACAATGCGATATCATAGTTGTCTCCTTCTCTCGTATTAGCATACGCGAGGCAGGCACGCCTACATCCAAGGAAATAAGCAGGTGTTGTGGCAACACTGTTGCGGAATTTTAGATAAATTATACTTCACACGTTTTTCAAAATTCAATAATAAATGGTATTATTTTTCTTATAATAAATCGATTTAATCGAAATTATATTTCTATTCTAAAATAAACATATTTTAACACTATCGCCATTTTGTAGCCATCACAGTAACCAATAAAATAAATACAGATTCCTTCTTTAGGTTTGTTTTGGTTATAAAATTCTGAACTGTTTAAAGAACAAATCTGTGGTTATTTACGCAATATTTTGTTTATTCTTTTTCTATGAGTTTGTCTATTTTATGATTCTTTTGTAAGTGGTTTATTCTGTGGGTTTAGTTAATTGAACTTGGTGATTTATGTGAATTTGGTCATTATGGATATTACGGTGAGAAATTGTACCGATATTGTTGACCTTCACGTGGTTCTTGCTGAACAATGAACTATTAATTAGACAAAAATGAGGTTTATTTAAAATAAACGTCATTTTTACAATAAAATATATTTCATTGACAAAGTAGAGGATTCCTTCCCCACCACAGTCTAAGTGTTTTACTTAGTTTTAAGTATAGGTTGTGAACTGCGACGTCAGTTTTTTTAAGTTGGGTTTAAAAAAATTTCTTCGCCTTTAAATTTGGGCGAAACCCTGCCTCTGCCTCACCAAAATGAAATGTCACAACGACGTACCAAAAATATGGGTTTAGTGTTACACGCGTTAGTATTGTTGTGTTCTTCATCACATACTAAATACATTATTGCTACAATTTGTTTATTTCTTGTTTTACACAAACAATGCAAATCTTTACAATGGGGTTACTTGCTTGTTTTACACATTACCAGTACATTTTGTTAGGGGAAGGTGGGGGAATTCTGCGCATCTAAGCAAAATCTCTATTATCTTTGTTAAGTTTAAATGTGAAATTTTGCAATTAATACCAGCGATAGTCTACTATGTTTACTATGTATACATATACACTTCTCCAAAAAATTAACGCACCACACCAAAAATAATTTATTATTTTTAATATGTTTTGAAAATGGTAAAGATAAATGTACACACTATCTGTATATTTATTTAAAAATAGGTTTTTATTCATAATGTCAGAAAAAAATCCCTAAAAATAATGTTTTTTTCAAAAAATTAACAGAATACGATTTTTATAAAAATTAAAAATTTGTACTTAATATTGAGTATTTCCACCTCTACTACGAATGACAGCCTCACATCTTCTGTTTATACTCAAAATTAGGGTTCGAATTTCATTTTGGTTAAAATTCTCCCAAATGTCCAGTAGAAGGCGCTCTACATCCTCTAAGTTATTGGAAAGGTTTGGATTGTCCCTTAAACGTCTCCCAAGAATGTCCCAGATGTGTTCTATAGGGTTAAGGTCTGGACTGCGAGCTGGCCAGGCCATAGAATTAATCCCAACGGCAGGAAGATAATTTAGGACTACCTGGGCAGTGTGTGGTCGTGCATTATCCTGCATTAGTAAAAAAATTGGACCTATAAAAGGGGCATATGGCACAACATGTTTTTCCAGAATGTTCAAAATGTAACGCTCAGCATTAAGGTTGCCATTATTTATCACCACTAAGTCGGTACGTGCTGTTAAAGAAATACCTCCCCACACCATAATTGAGCCCCCACCAAATAAGGTCGTATTAAGGAAGTTACATTGGACATATCTTTCATTTGGCCGTCGAAACACTCTAACGCGTCTATCACATGTGTATAGACAAAATCTAGACTCATCTGTAAACAGAACTCGTTCCCAATCCGCTGTTACCCAGTTGACGTGCTCTTTAGCAAAATTTAGCCGGGCTCTGCGATGATCCACGGTTAAGAGCGGGTCTCGTGCAGGAATTCGGGGTTGCAAATTATCTTCCCTAAGTCGTTGTCGAATGGTTTCAATACTTATTCGAACCCCTTCTACGTTTTCCAACTGAGACTGCAACATTCTTGTAGTCACAAACCGTTGTCTCAAAGTTAAAAGTCTTAAAAAACGATCTTGAGCAGGAGTCGTAGCACGATTTCTACCCTGACCTGGTCTCCTAGTATGGCCACCAGTCTCCATGTACCATTGATACATACGAGAAATGGATGTATGGGATACACCAAACCTTTCAGCTATTCTGCGGAAACTCTAACCTTCTTGCACTAAAACAACCACTTGGGCACACTCATCGCGAGTTAAATTTCTTGATTGCCGTTGCATCTTGACAATAAGTGAAAATTAAAAAGTAAATAGAGATGATAAATGAAGTCTAACAAAACTGCGAGGCGCGGCGATACTTTAACATGTTGTAGGAATTTACCAGAATTGGTATATTCGACATAACAAAAAAACTAAACATCTTATAAAAACGTTTACACACTTTTTAATAGTCATATACGAGGGTGTTTCAAAATTAATATAAACATTGTACTATTTACTTTGATAGAAAATTTTATTTACAAAATAATAAGTGGTGCGTTAATTTCTTGGAGTAGTGTATAATGCGCAATTTATAAAAAAAATTGTTTGGGATGCAAAAACTACATTTTTTTAAATAATGCATTTGCGCAAAATTACCCACCTATCAGGGTAATTTTGCGCATCATAGGGGGAAAATTTGCGCTTTATAGAGAAAGATTTGTAGGTATCTAAATAAACCGTTTATTTCTATAGTATTATTATATTAAAACATAAAAATAAAACAAAACTATTTTCTCTATGAAACAAACAAAACAAACAAGATCAAAAATAAATAACTAAAAATAAAATTTTTGTTCTTAGAAATAAGAGGGTCTACATGCAGCAGTTGTCACATATGTAGTTTTAGGGGTTGTTTTTTACGCTACACTCCGCGTGTGCCCAAATGGAACTGTTTATGATGAACAATCTAGGCTCCTGTACCAAAAGCTCCCATATTGGTCAAATTTTACAGCGCAAAATTACCCCAATTTTTCAGCGTAAAATTACCCCCATTGCAAGAAAAATATTGTGATACTAAAAAACATTCCAAAAGTTAACCTGAACAATTTAAACATACACCAGATTACGAGGAAAGATCATATAAAGTTGTGTTATAAACATTTAAGCGATTGGACAGAAATTTAAACTTAACTCGTAGCGGAAACGACATGGATTTCTTAGATCAACGTACATGTATCACAGTTAGCTAGTGACCATGGTCACTAGCTAAAAGCTACAAGCTTAATTGCGGTATACTTTAGTCCCTGTATACCCAAAGCAACGTTTCCAAGTTTGCAACATTAAAAAAATGTATTATTTACTTCATATCTGGAAGAATTGCTTATGCGTAAAATTACCCACCGCACAAAATTCCCACACCTTCCCCTACATTTTACAACTCTCTTACAGCAAAATATTCAATTTTTGGGCTCGAATAAAAAAATACTTCATGCTTTCGTGCTTCCATACTTAAGCTTGTGTCACAAGCGGCTTAAATTTTAAAAACTTTTTAGGTCAAATTTATTCCCTGTTCACTCTGTACAGCGAGGAAGGGGATGAGCAACTGTCAATAACCGTTGGAAGAGATGTGAGCGTGTATTATGAGGACACCGACGAAATGCCTTTGGAGGGAAATCACATCCCCTTTGAAGTATCCCTGGACGATGGACAGTACGTACAAATATTTTTTATAAACTTTATTAATTTTTTTTTCATTTGAAAATTTTAATTAAAAATTTATATATTTATGAAATTAACACATTAATTAATTAATAATTTACCAGCATTTCTGTATTCACAAAATTTAATTGCATTTTATAATCAAATAAAGTTTAAATAGGTATTTTTTGAAGTGTTTGATTAATTTAAAAAGTCTTTTTTAAGTTTAACGGCATTGGTAATACATAATTAGGTCAAGAAGTTCAGACAAACAAAAACCTTTTTATAAAATTAAAATTTAAATATTATTCATCATAAAAAATTAGTTAAGGGAGTTAGGTTATAAAATACCCTCGTAGATACGTAAGTTAGTAAACTATAAAGTTTTTAAATTGAATAAATTTCTTTGTATACCTACTTTTTTGTCAGTTGTTTTTCTGTAAGTTATATTTTTAATGTTTAGATAAATTACTATATACGAGGTGTGTTCAGAAAATATCGGGAATTTTCGTTTTTTGAAACAAATATTTATTTATTCGCCTACATTAATGTTGTCGCCTTCAAAATAGTCCCCTTTGGATATTATGCACATGTGCCAGCTCTTCTTCCAATACTCGAAACACTTCTAAAACTCGATCTTTGGGATAGCCTTTAGTTCTTTCAGCGATGCGCTTTTAATGTCATCAATGCTTGCAAAACGACGGCCCTTTAAGGTTCTCTTTATTTTTGGGAATAGGAAACAGTCAGACAGAGGCATGCCTGGCGAATATGGAGGCTGGGGAATCATTACAGTATTGTTTTTGGCCAAAAATTTTGTTCAAAATTTAACAATTTTAGAACAAATTTTGCTGCCTAGCGTTTCATACCCAAAACATTTGAAAAAATTTCATGGGATGAGCCAATCGATATACCAACATCATCAGCGACTTCTCTGATGGTTTATAACCATTTCTTCCACTTTTTCCATGTTTTTATCGGTTGTTAATGTGCTTGTGCGTTCGGGGCGATCGTCAACTTCAACGTCTTCACGGCCATCTTGGAAACTCTTGTTTTACTTATAGCAGACTCACTATTAGCCTTTGTTAACATTTTAGAGAATTTATTTAATTTTTTAAGCAAAATTGGATACAAATTCTTTGATCCATTTCTTTTGACGAACGAAAAATCGCCGAGCTCATAAAACACGTCTAACCTGAGTTGTTACGGTAAATAAAAATCAGACAAAGGAACAAAGAAAAAAACTATTTTCAACAAAATCATATGCAGAAATAAGAATATTCAAACTACTTGCATCCATCAAAAGATCAAAACTTCTTGCAATATTGAATTACACCCTCTTTTTATGCTCTCATAAATATTGTCTAGAACAGTATTAGAGATACTACAGTTTATATAACTTGGTAGAGTAAAGAGAAGTCGAAACCGTTGCGATATTGCATTGCGCTGTTTTTGTACAATTCTCGAGGACATTAACGAAAATCATTGCCAGTAAAATTCGAAAAGCTTGAGCTTCTATATCTTTGAAGAGAATAGGAATCCGAAGTTGCTGCACCATTGGACTGAACCCTTTTTCAATAATTTCTAGACATAAATGACTGCACCATTCGACAGGGTCGAGTTTCTACCTCTCTGAAGAATATAGAAAATCAAAATAATGTATCTTGTAAGACACTATTGAGTTTGACTTTAACTATAGTCATGCATAGGTATGGAGGCGAAAAATATAAAAACAAAGCACAATTCAATACAGTTATGATAAACCTGTACAGTTCTATATTTTTCCCTTTGCTGTATATATAAAAGTAGAGTAACCAAATTGGTGTTGGTGATCTTTTTTACCGGCTTTTAAGATGGAAGTGTACAATAAGATTAAAATTATTAAAGTAATGGCAAAAACTTTACATAAAATATTAATAATATTATAAACATAACATATATTGTTATTTCAGGTGGCATCGTTTAGCCTTTAGTTTCAAAGGCGATTCAATTACATTAATAAACGACTGTGTGAATTCAATTACAAAATCTCTGAAACGGAAAACAACGTCGAAATTAAGCACCTCAGGGATAATAAACGTAGGATTTCAGTTGGCCAACGAAGGATATTATGATGTAAGTTTTTAAATTTAAATTAAAAAAATATTAACAACAGGTTAAAGTAGACAGTTATCGGACACTTAATAGTTATTGGACAATTAACATTAATACTGTAAAAACAAGAGTTCTATAAATAGTTACCTTAAAGTCAAATCATTAGATGACGCTGTATACAATTATAACTATCTCAGTCGGTAATAATATAGAACTACTTTATTTTGGGTCCAATATAGGACAAAAAAGTTCGCACGTTACTTTGGTGGTAAGATTTTTGTTTTTTTGTTAAGAGCAGGGCTATGTTTAAATAACAATAAAAAATATTTCTAAAAAGTGTACAGATCAGTGTGTGGTATAAATGTGTTCCTCATGGTTTAAACATTGACACTTTAATGCGTTTTAATTTGAATTCTGAAAACAAACAGTAAAATGGCCAGTGTCCAATTACTGGTTGATAAAAAATGTAAATTTCTATTATTGGACATATGTCCAATATCATACTCTATTTATATCCCGGGCATTTACCAGCCAATTTTTATGTAAAATTGTCCCCTGAATTCGAGAAGACCGTCAAAAACTATAAAAGTTAAGCAGTTTTTGAGATATAGTCAATTGCATATTATATGTAAAATTGATTAAATTTCAAAAACTGTTCTACTTTTATAACTTTTGACGACATTTTCGGATTCAGCGAATATTTTTCATTTCATAGGAATTGACTGTTAAATGTCCTGGATACAAATTGCTGTTGACGACAATTATTAGTGGCTGCTTTTTCGCTATGACATTTTTGACTAATTCATTTTTAGAGAGTAAGTAATATAGTGATTTCTTCGTCACAGGACATCTCGCAGAGTAACAGTGATTTAAGTACAGTGCATGATAGAGAACATAAAAATCTAATGGCAACAAAATTAATAAATTCGAAAATTACTTTTAACATACCACCCGAAAAAATATTAGATATATATGTTCCGGCCTAAATATTATAAATGCTTCACAAACTAGAGATACCACACTTAATGATATTTGCAACAAACTATTTCAGAAGTCAGATCAAGGAATTAGTAGTTACCTTCAGAATCCAGAAAAGTGATGAGGAATCCGAGAAAGAAATATATGAATTATATGATATTTACAAAAACGAAATAAAAAAATTTACCTACACCAATTTATCTTTAAAAAATATTTAACAATTTATGTTATTTGATGTAAAGTGGTTATGTTTATATAAAAATAACTATGGTCCATGTGTTACTATATAAAATGTCCAATTACTATACTTTTTTGCATTTTTTATATAACTATTATTAAAAATTCAAATATTCTTATTTTTAAGTAAATGTAAATAAAGTGTAAACAAACTATGCTTTTTATATATTTATAAGAAAAAAACAAAAATCTTTAAAACAACGGCATATATAAATTTTAAATACGAGGTGTGTTCAGAAAATATCGGGAATTTTCGTTTTTGAAACAAATATTTATTTATTCGTTTACATTAATGTTGTCGCCTTCAAAATAGTCCCAATTGGATATTATGTACATGTGCCAGCTCTTCTTCCAATACTCAAAACACTTCTAAAACTCGATCTTTGAGATAGCCTTTAGTTCTTTCAGCGATGCGCTTTTAATGTCATCCATGCTTGCAAAACTACAGCCCTTTAAGGTTCTCTTTATTTTTGGGAATAGGAAAAAGTCAGACAGAGGCATGTCTGGCGAATATGGAGGCTGGGGCGTCATAACAGTATTGTTTTTGGCCGAAAATTTTGTTCAAAATTTAACAATTTTTGAACAAATTTTGCTGCCACGCATTTCATACCCAAAACATTCGAAAAAATTTCATGGGATGAGCCAATCGATATACCAACATCATCAGCGACTTCTCTGATGGTTTATAACCATTTCTTCCACTTTTTCCATGTTTTTATCGGTTGTTAATGTGCTTGAGCGTTCGGGGCGTTCGTCATCTTCAACGTCTTCACGGCCATCTTGGAAACTCTTATACCACTTGTAAACTCTTGTTTTACTTATAGCAGACTCACTATAGGCCTTTGTTAACATTTCACAGAATTTATTTCATTTTTTAAGCGAAATTGAATACAAATGGATCAAAGACCATTTCTTTTAACGAACGAAAATCGCCGAGCTCATAAAACACGTCTAACCTTAGCGGCTGCCACAGACAAAGTAAACAATGAAAACAGCTAAAGTTTTTATCATACTTCGGGGGCATGTATACCAACATAATAAAGAAAATTTTATGACAACCGGACCCTCCGAAGCCGCAAAATTTAACAATTCCCGTTATATTCTGAACACACCTCGTAAATAATATTAGTTAAGTGTGCAATAACTGTCTACTTTACCCTATATTTTTAAACTTCTTTTATGAATTAAAAAAGCCTTTTAGGACAATAAAACGTTTTAGTATAACATAAAGCATGATCTTGCAAAGCCAATTTTTTTGTAAATACAGTTTTTATTTTTAAGTTTAAAGACCCATTACCAAGTTATTTCCGAATAAAAACAAGGAAAACGGAGTGATAACTCATTTGAAGTGTAACGTCCTAATGAAACTTTTTTTAAAGCGAAATGAAATACTATTTCAATTTTTAATTACTTCAGCTCTCGAGGGGATATAACTTACAAAATGAGAATGTTTACAGCGCCCGTATGCTTTTTATCAAAGTTATTTCTAACTTTCGTCAATTAAGAAGCTTTAATAAAAATTTAATTTACTATTTTATGCCGTTGAAAAAATTGTGAAATTGTAAAAATATACAAATTTAAAATAACCATCAAAAAAGAAAACAAAAACATAAAAATCAGTCAGAAAGACTAGAAAATGTTGAAAATAAAAATAATTAAAAAAAACATTTCAATTTTAATAACACTAGTTTACAAAAACACGAAAATCACACTTAATTTTTTTGAAATATGAATTTTCAATTGTTTTTTTTTTTCAATTTTTCAAGATGTTTTGACGTGTTTGATTATAGCTTGAAATCTAATTGATCGATTTGGTCAAACAAGCCCTTAAATTGAAGGTATTTGAGCCCTCTAAAACTTTCTTTTACATACTTTTGATATCGGATAAGTATTTTGACGCTAGCGATTTTAATAACTTAAAAAAATCGTTTTTATGGCAAAAATTGAGGTCAAAAATTTACATATCGTCCTGGGAAAGGTTTAAATCAAACAGATAACTCCACTTTGAATTTTTTTCGTGAAGCTGACATTTTTACAAAAAAAATGTTGATAAAAATATATGGAAAAATGGCAAAGTTATGAATTTTTTAGTAGAAGACCAAAATTCAGCTTTTTGACAATTTTTATTTTATTTTTTTTCTTTTATTTTGTAATATGTTTATTCTTTAATAAAAACCTAAATAAGGTGCATGATTGAAATTTTTTGAGTTTTTTACGAACTTTTTTCACCGAAAACATTATTCAAAATTTAAATTTGACATGGCTCCGCAAACGTGAATTCTTTTGTTTCTCGTGTTGGCATAGTGACATTTTACTGATATTTTTTGATATTTCAACAAGGTCTTTTTATCATGGTTTTATTTAGTTAATAAAAAGTGTAAAATGAGTAAAAGAAGTAGAGTCAAACCACGTCAAGTGGGACCAGAAAATTTCACGAAATCACCGATTTTGAAAATAATCACATTATTGTGTAGTAGGCATGACTCATATGTCACAGTAAAAAAATTGTTTTAAAATTCGTTTTTTTGGTAATGTTATTAAGGTTGACAATTTTGTCAAACTTTAGAGCACGGTAAAATTGAAAAAATAGAATCTCTGGGACCACTCTGTATAATTGAATTAAATTTTACACACTATTGTAGAAATGTTTAGAGTATATAATGATCATTTAATTAAGGTTAATTTGTTTAAATAAAAGAATTTTGCATACATTTATTATAAACAATTGAAATTTTGTATGTGTTCTTCACGCTGAAAAAAAATTAATCTTGTGTCATAATATGCGGCAAACGTTTCCGTTTAATAAGATGTACTCAAAAATTTGCCTTTCATATGTCATTCCGGAGATATTATTTTTTTTGTCCCGCTGTGCGCTTGATCAGTACGCGGCGCGCTTCGCTGCTAGCTCGTCAGCACACAGTGTGCCTGAACGAAGTTTAAGTCACATAAAAATTCCGCAGTTTCTTGTTCGGGACCCTTTGGTGACTTAAAAATGATATTTACCAAAATCCTAGCTGCTCCTCTTTTCGAAATTTTTTGAAAAATCTTTTTTCTGCATTATGCTTTTTACTATATAAAAAAGTGATTTTTGTCTAACCCTGTATAAATCTAAGCATATATATATAAAACAGTTTCTCTCGTTTACAATATCGGTGTACAAATGTGTACTCTGGCAAAGGTAGACTTTGTTATAAACAAATAATTTTAAAAAAATTGAATTTTTTACAAATTAAAAAAAACAGTTAGAATTTTGGTAAATATATTTTTTAACTTCAACCAATTTTTCGTTCAAAATTAAAAACTACTAAAAAGCCTAAATTAAACAACATTTTAAATACTCCCTAAGCGTTATTTTATTAAATGTTATTACAAATCTATTTTTCTTGTAAAAGGTTAATAATAATGCCATTTTGTAACCTGATAGACCTAGAAATATCTAAAAAAAAATTGGGAATAAATATTTTTCGCGTGTTATGCTAAAATCATGAATTTACGCTTTTGAATTATTAAAAATAAGTGATTTTTGGCTAACCCTGTATATATCAAATGATGTGAACAGTATTAAAAAATATTCTCTAAGTCTCCTAAATAATATACTCCAATTTTATAAAAATCCGTGTGCAAATGTGTACTCTGTCAAAGAGATAAACAAAAATTTAAAAAAAAATCATGAATTTTCGAACAATTTCGAAAAGAGGAGCAGCTAGAACTTTGGTAAATATCATTTTTAAGTCACCAAAGGGTCCCGAACAAGAAACTACAATCAGTTTTTGGCGGCATTTTTATGTGACTTAAACTTCGTTCAGGCACACCGTTAAACCGTTCGAACGGACGAGCTAGCAATCTCCAGAATGAAATATGAAAGGCAAATTTTTGAGTACATCTTATTAAACGGAAACGTTTGCCGCATATTATGACACAAGATTAATTTTTTTTCAGCGTGAAGAACACATACAAAATTTCAATTGTTTATAATAAATGTATGCAAAATTCTTTTATTTAAACAAATTAACCTTAATTAAATGATCATTATATACTCTAAACATTTCTACAATAGTGTGTAAAATTTAATTCAATTATACAGAGTGGTCCCAGAGATTCTATTTTTTCAATTTTACCGTGCTCTAAAGTTTGACAAAATTGTCAACCTTAATAACATTACCAAAAAAACGAATTTTAAAACAATTTTTTTACTGTGACATATGCCTACTACACAATAATGTGATTATTTTCAAAATCGGTGATTTCGTGAAATTTTCTGGTCCCACTTGACGTGGTTTGACTCAGTAGAGAGTTCGAGTGCGTAAATAACCCGCACAATCTGGGCGACGTAAGTGATGAGCACGGAGAACGTTTTCACCAGCAAATGAAGGCTATGGAGCGGCGGTATCACGGCTTCTGGGATGCAGCCATGATGGGTGATTACATTTGGTCCCTCATACGAGAAACGGAATACGAAAGCAACAAAAAACAAAAAACCTATGTTTATTACAATAATTACATAATTTAATTTTAATATTTAAAATAAAAATCAATGTTCAATATTAAATTTTACATAATTCAATAAAATGAAGAAAAAACGTAAAAAATCTTGAAAAACTGAATTTTGGTCTTCCTCTGAAAATTCATAATTACGCCATTCATCCATGGATTTTTATAAACAGCAGCTTATTTTTTTCCTTTAAGTATAATCTATACGTAAAATAAATCAAACTGGAATTACCTTTTCGATTTCTATATTTTCCAGAAAGATATGTAAATTTTCGACCTCGATTTTTGTAAAAAAAAGGACTTTTTCAACGTGGTCAAAACTAAAGTATAGGACGAACAAAAATGCCAACCAAAACTGATAGCATAATCTGATTATAGACTCTTTTGGTAACACAAAAATGTATTTATCAAAATCCCAGCTGATCCTTTATTAAAGTTTTGCAAATTTCTTAGTATTTTAAAATTGTTTATGCCATTTCGATAAAATACTCTAGTACCATTATCAAATGTTTTTAAAAATTTGGCAGATACATGACTGAAATATGGATAAATTACATTATAAATACAAAATAATGTAAAATACAGTTTGCAATATCTTATTTATTGTTTTAAGTTACCTAATACAAAACTAATAAATAACTAAAGATTCTTTGAAGCAAAATCGATTACTGCTTGCCTTAAATTTTCAGTTAAACTTTTTTTGGGTTTTACAAGAATTGTTTTTAACATGGAAACAGTATTTTTAAATTCTTCAGTCTCTGTGCAAACATGCTTCTTACATCTAGCGATATCCCCTAGAAAGGAAGAGCATACCAAAACTTTAGTTCGTTCGTCCGTCCTCTTCCCTTAATAATTTTTTATGCCCTTTATATCTTGCCATTTTGCAGATAAAGCACATACATTCTAGGCTGCCGCGAAATTCTCTAGCAATTTTGAAAATTTGGCAATTGTGACTATGCAAAAATACCGTTTTTACCATATTGAAGTAGGTAATTTTGAATCACTTAAGTTAAAGTGTTCGTTTGAAAAAGTCTGCAGTAATTTTTATATTTTCTCAGAAACCCTAAACTCTGAATTTTTCGATTACCAAAAACAATTTTGTCTCCACAGCCAGCACATACCTTCTTTCGATTTTCTTCATGGCTTAACTTGAATTTCGGTTTAATTTTCATTTTAAAATACCATTTTTAACTTTATAAAGTATACATTAAATAAACACCTAAAGCAAAATGTCACTTGCGTTATAACGTATAGCAATTTTTTTCATAACCACCCTAATTATTGTTTTACAAAATTTGCAAGTTGTAATTATTTCATAGACAAACTTCCAGTATTTTTTGTTATAAAAAATATTTAAGATATAAATCTTCGTTTTTTTTGTTATGTTTTGTTTTGAGTGGTAAAAAATAATAGGTGACTCAATAAATTAATACTGGGGAGTAAAGTAATTTAAATGATACAAAGTTTATTATTTTGCTTAATTTTATTAAAATTGTACAGGTATTTTTAGTACAATAATTGCAAAATAATATATAGAAATAGAAAAACAAAAAAGTTTGCAAAACTTTAAAATAGGATCAGCTGGGATTTTGATAAATACATGTTAGTGTTACCAAAAGGGTCTATAATCAGTTTTGGTTGGCATTTTTGTTCGTCCTATACTAAGTTTTGACCACCGTGTACTGAGCCGATACCAAAACTATACAAGAGAAAGTTGTAGATGGCTCAATTACCTTTAATTTAAGTGCTTGTTTGGTCAAATCGATCCATTAGAACTCGAAGTATATTCTAAAAAGTCAAAACATCTCAGAAAATTTGAAAATTCATATCTCGAAAACAAATTTTAAGTGTGATTTTCTCGTTTAGTGAGCCAAACTACATAAGAAAATCATAGTGAGACATGGTGGGGAAAATGGCTGTAAACTACATAATGGCTGTAAACTACATAATAAACAATAAAATCATTGTTGCTATTTATTTCAGGGTGATGTACAACTTCTAAAAATCGCAGATACCCCAGACGAAGCATACGAACTTTGCACCAAACACGCCCCAGATTGCGGTTCTGGCATTAGAACCTCCCATAGCAGCAGTTCTTATTCCTATAACTCAAACAATGGACAGGGAAGCTACAGTGAAACGAGCAGTAAAAAAAGGAAAGGTTCCAAATCCAAGAGTGGAAGGAAGAAAAATGGATCAAAGAAAAAAAATAAGAAATCTGATGTGGCAGTTGAAGCTGAAGAAAGTTTAATATCCCAGGGGCTGTCGGTTATAAATCAAAACGAAAATGTTACCAAGGAAAGAGAATCCAATTATAATGGAGAGATAGATTTAAATGGTTTAAATGAATATATACTAAAAAATAACGGTGGGAATTATGTTATAAGTGAAGAAAACAGCGCTTCTTTAGCTATCGACCAAAGTTCATTGGGTAATATAAGAGGGGATATAGATTATGATATCACAACTGATGAAACCAGCACTACTGATGTAAACGAGTCAATGGATAATAGTACGGTTTTTTCTACAATATCACCAAACGAGGTATGGTATAAGAGTCATTCCAAATAAAAACACCAAATGGGGTGCGCTGCTTGATTTTTTATTTTGATAAAAAAAAATGAGGATGATCTTTTAGGTATCAAATATGAAAATCCGTTGCCGTTTTAATTTTTGGATTCTTTACTTTTAATCGGCACCCTTTAGAAATTTGAAATCGTGTGAGCCAGAACTTTTTTTCTGTGACAAATATTGAAATGATTTTAATATTGTTTTACTGTTCAGTAAGTGTGTTTTCGATATAAATTATTATTATCCAATTGGTTAATCTCATAAAAGAATGGTAAACCACTAAAGATTCATGATAATTTGCCAATTTTTGTGATTTCTGTCTGGCTCTTGTGCCTATTCTACTAAATCTAGAAAGTTATTTTTTTTCAGGTATCATGTACTTATACAATAGAAAACGTAACTATTATTTTAAGTTTCTAGACTATCATTTTCTTTATTAAAAAAATTATTGAAACTTTATAATTCTTAAATTAGTCAATTTTGCCCTCAGAAATCATTATGTTGAGGAAAAAATAAAAATCTGAAACTTTCAGAAAATGTTTGTTTCATCTTTTCAGTCCAGTTAGTCGACGAAACAAGATCTTGTTTTGTTATTTTTATTCCTTTAAAAGATATATTAATTTTTTTAATGCCCGTTTAGTAGCGGTATTGTTAGTTTTAGTTTTAATTTATAATTTATAATTTTATATTGTATAAGTATTTGATTTAGCAGAATAGGCACAGGAGCCAGACAAAAATCACAAAAATTGGCAAATTATTACAAATCTTTGGTGGTTTACCATTCTTTTATGAGATGAACTAATTAGATAATAATAATTAATATTTAAAACATACTTACTAGGCAGTAAAATAAAATTACAATCATTTAAATAATTGCCACAGAAAAAAAGTTTTAGCCTCTTATAAGAGAGTAAGAAAATGACACGATTTCAGGTTTCTAAAGCTTTAAAGGGTGCCGATTAAAAATAAAGAAACTAAAAATTAAAACGGCAACGGTTTTTCATATATGATACCTAAAAGATCATCCTCAAATTTTTTCATTAAAATAAAAAATCATGCAGCGCACTTTTAAATTCATTTTTGGTGTTTTCATTTAAACTGCGCACCACTCAATGTGTCGCGACTCGCGACCAAAAAGTTCGTCCTTTTTCAAAACGACATAACTTTTTTGTTTCTTCAACGATTTTATTTTGGTCTGTAATGTCTGCTAGCCCCATCCTCTGGCAATTTATGCTATAGATATGAAGCTCACGGTTCTTTAAGTAAATTTTCTACAGGGTAATATGTTAAACGGTGAAAAATTTGAATAATTTCATCCAAGCCCCGTTTGAAAAAAGAAATATTTTTTCTCGTTTTTACTTTGAAATAATGAAGTATTACGTCTTACCTTTAAACGGTTTTCAAATTTTTCAAATTGGAACGATTAGCAACGAAAATATAATTGTTTTTTTCAAAAGAGTAGATTTAAGGCTTTTTGGTAGACAATACACTCAGTCTTTTTAAGAACAAAAAGATAAGATGGTGATAGATTGTTCCTTGAATAATTCTGAACAAGCGACAAGCAACAAATTTCCATTATTTTCAGAGGGGCCTAAACAACGACCACTTTTTCAAAATGACATTTTGGTGAAAATTTGCGAAAACTAAACCTGAATCGATATTTACGTTCGCGACATGTTTTCTTTATAATTTTGACCTCCTTATTGTGATTCAGTTGTCAAATTTAATTTTCAGATAAAACCAAAATCACCAAGAATTAAAATTCGAAAACAATTCCCTGCTGTTAAATGTCTTAATAAAAACAGATTTCTGGCGTGTTTCTTGCATATTTATGATTAAAATGCCATTTGGGGATTCATTTTTTGGGCCAAATTACTGCAATTTGTTTGAGTGGTTGGGATAATATTACATAACTTACATAACCTAATTGTTAATAAAGTTAAATAAAAATGTTTTTGTTAATTTTTTAAAATTTTATGCGAAGTTATAATCAAAACAGAAAAATGTAACAAACAATAACAATAATAACTTTTAATCTTCTGCGAACCGTTGATTTGGAGATGTTAATTCCCGTATACGGGCTACGCGTAGCTGCAGCAAAGTCTGGCATTGGCATTTTAATCATTTAAACTTTAAATGATTAAAATGCCAATGCCAGACTTTGCTGCAGCTACGGGAATTAACATCTTCAAATCAACGGAAAATTTTAAAGAAGAATTTTGGTTTTATCTGAAACTTACATTTGACAACTGAATCACAATCAGGAGGTCAAAATTTTGAATAAAACATGTCACGAACGTAAATATCGGTTTAGGTTTAGTTTTTGAAAATTTTTACCAAAATGTTATTTTGAAAAAGTGTTCTTTGCTTAGGCCCTCTAAAAATAATGGAAGTTTAAGCAACAATTGTTGCTTGTCGCTTGTTCAGAATTATTTAAGAAACAATCTTCTTATTCCTAAAAAAAAACTGATTTTATTGCCTTCAAAAACCCTTAAATGTACTCTTTTGGAAAAAAAATCATATTTTCGTTGCTAAGATTCCAATTTAAAAAATTTGAAACTTGTTTCAAGGTAAGACATAATACTTCATTATTTCAAAGAAAAAACGAAAAAAAAAATATTTTTTTACAAACGGGACTTGGATGAAGTTATTGAAATTTTTCACCGTTTAACATATCACCCTGTAGGAAATTTTCTTGAAGAACCGTGAGCTTCATATCTATAGCATGAATTACCAGAGAATGAGGCTAGCAAACTTCACAGACCAAAATAAAATCGTTCAAGAAACAAAAAAGTTAAATCGTTTTGAAAAAGGACGAACTTTTTGGTCGCGACACATTGAGTGGTGCGCAGTTTAGATTGACTCATAATTAAATAGTTAAGTGCAATTTGTTGAAACTGATACGCCATGTTTCTTTCCATGAACAGTCGGTTACAGAAGATCCAAGTGTATACGATGCATCTCCAATGGATCCGAATTATGGGTATTATCCTGCCCCATACAACCCCAACAAAGGACCCCCAGGACCAAGGGGGTTCAGAGGCCCTCCAGGAGAGACAGGAGAAACAGGACCCAAGGGTGATCCAGGAAGAGATGGACTGGGAGGCACCTCTGGAATACAAGGTCCTCCTGGACATGTTTTTATGATCCCAGTAAGATGTTTTTCAATTATAAGCTTTACACTGTTCAAAATTTCATGACCATTTTAACACCAAATTAACACCATACATGGTCTATATCGATACAAACCAAAATTGTGTTAAATATGGTTTGTTGGTCCAGTGTAAATTCAAATACTAAAATAGTGCCAATTTAACTTTCACACAGTATTAAAATAAATTTTACCTGGTGTAAATTGAACTCCTTTTTAGTGTTAAATATAATGTGTTTTTGGTCAAATTAAATCATACTACACAGAAAAAAAGTTCCTTGACGCATTACAAGTATATTACCAGTGGTATTATTTCAGAAAATTGAACCTTCAACTCGCTAGAGATAATGTTTTTAGTGCGTTCCACCAACTTAAAATACTTCAAATATTGACAGCTGTTTCCACATATTTAAGGTCTCTTCAGTATCGAACAACTTGTAGTGTCACACCAAAGCAAAGGACTACCTGAGCTTACATACTCTTCATGTAAGTCAACAGAGGCGAGATTTAAGAACATCACGTGATCCACACCGCCTTTGCCGCGATCGGTACACACTATGCAACAAGGAATGCACGGCAAATTGTTTTAATCGTTTTAACAGAGTGCTTTAGGTTGAAGTAACTCTTATTTTACAAACAACATATTTAGTAAAGTGAACCATTCAGCGGGTTGGTTTCACTAAAGTTTTCTGGGTTACTTTAACCAATTTAAAAAAAATAAAATAACTATCTGGTTTAGTACCGTCAAACTAATCTTTGTTTATATTAACCTTTCCACAGTTGATTTAAATAAATACTTATGGGTCAACTAAATTATTATAGTTAAATGAACTATTTCATTTTTTCTGTGTAGGTGCACTTCTCAAATATTTTTAGATAAACACCGTTTTGGTGTTTGCTGTATAAAACATTTTTAAACATAATTCATGGTGTTATATTAACACCACTTGGTGTTGGATTTTGACACCATTTTAAGATTACTCTTCACAACACATATATTTTAAACAGTGTAAACTAAAAAAACAACTATATTTTAGCTAAACGCGCATGGAAACGAGAAAGGACCAGACACCCAAGCGGAAACGTTCAGACAAATGTTGTCGCAGCACATGGTAAATATGCGGAAATAAATTTAATCTAAAAAACTAAAATAGCTGTTCACAACTATGTTAAAGATGGCCATGCGGGGAATCGAAGGACCGATGGGTTTAACGGGCGTTCCCGGCCCACAAGGACCGACCGGTTCTGAAGGACCAAAAGGAGAAGCTGGGGAAATTGGCGAACCGGTAAATAGAGAATAACACCGACGTCTGTTACACTTTGTTTAACTAATTTTGGGCCGCTGATTTCAAAAATGTCATTAGTTTTTCCCTAGAACGTCTAGGATTTAAAATAATTTTTTAATAAAATGCTCTGCCAATCACCTCGAAATGTAAGTTTTTTGTTGGTATTTTAATTATATATTAAATTATTTTGGCTTAAATTTATCTTGAATGTACTAAAGTAATTGGTATACGGCAAATAGATCATATTTATCTTAACACTGTGACATTTTAAATACTAAAACTATAATTTTAATGTATTTTATGTATTATTTGACATTTTTTGTCGTTTATTTTAATTATTAAATTGAAAGGGCAACAAAGTAAACAAGTTTCAGTATTTTCCTCATCATCGTCGTACATCTTTTGCTGCAAATTCCAGCAAATGTCTCCTAGCAATGAATCCAACTTATTTCCGCTATACCCATAGATATCTACCAATGCTCTAGATTTGCAGTTACTTGGTGAAATCGTTCTCCATGTTCATCAGTTCGGCAAATTTATCAGGGTGAACAAAAAGAAAATGTTTTTTAAATGACATATTAACGCTAATTCTTTGCAAAACGGAAAGCATTTTTTCAATGAATTGGCGCCAATTTTAGCCCCGATATGATGCAAGAACATTTTCAATGACTGCCATATGCGACAAGCTCGTCAACTTTGAGAGCATTTTTGAATGCTTGATCTTTCATGAAACGTCGGATATCAGGACCATTTAATATTCCTGCAAAATTAAAGTAGTAATAAAAATTTGTAATGAAAAATTGCGTTGGTTTTTCTTGGGCGTAAAGGTACCGCAACATAAACAAAACAAATTTACAACGACGACATAAATGTTCGTCTCCTTTCTCTTTTTCTGCCACTTCCATTTCCTGTTTTTTTTTTCATTTTTGGTTCTTAAAATCACTTTAAAGTAAAAATACAATTTAAAGTTTAAATTTTAAATGTCAATAATTAATAGATGCACTTTAGTGTGCTTGAACGATAAAGTAGATAAAGGCGCCTTTATACTTCAATTCGATATTAAATTTTGATAAGACTTAATATATAATTATATGTATATATACATTAGGGTGCTTCAAAAAATAAAATTTAATTTTTTTTTCGCTCTTACCCTCTCAAATGTTTCTATTTAATATAGAAAAAATCCTCACCAAATATGGGCGTTCCAGCTCAACTCTAAGAGGTCGCTGTTTTTATTTTAGTTTCCCATTTAATTAACATGGGAAAAAATAATTTTATGTTTGGAATTTTATACCTCTGTATCAAAGTAACTTATGGCAATGATCATTGCAGTTTCTTATATAAAATGTAACGCTATACAAAAAAGGTCTCTTATTATTTTTTGATAAATGGATTTCTTCTAGAGTTATTCGAGGTCAAAGTTTGATTAACATCAAATTTTCTGGTTTTTTTAATTTTATGGTATAATTAGCAGACGGGAGGTGAAAGGGGGCAAAACAAGGCAGCGGTGGCCCAAAATGGGGTACCCAAAAAATTTCGTAAAAAATTAGATTGTTTTTTTCGGTTTCTAAATTCACAAGTTTTAATCGAAAATAATTATTCTGAGCCTGTAGAGCGAGAAAAAGGGTGGTACAATTTTGGAAAACTTTTCAAATGCTCATTTTTTGGGTACCCCATTCATAAAACAATCAATAAAAACCAAAAAACTAATTATAAATTTATATTATGCAAAGAGATTCATGATCATAATACTAGGAACCAAAGCAAAATTTATTTAACAAATACACAGTCTAATATAGGTTTGAATAATCCAATAAATCGTAGTGTGGAAAGTTATAACATGTTACCCCAATCAATAAAAAATATTAAAAATAATAATATATTTAAGAAAAAAATAATTTCTTAAATGACTACGAAATATAAAAAATTCGCTAGTCTCCATCACCAGCACAGGGTGCTGATTAGGAGTCTAAATTATTTTCGTTTATGTATTGTATCTTCTCGGACCAAAATATTATTAAAATATCTAGTTTATAAGTGTATTTATTTGAAAACAATTGTACAGGACAGTTAAAACGAAAATAAAGATATTAAAAAAAAAAGCTGGGACCCCCATATTTGGTGAGGATGCTTATACCGAAACCCGTTTACTTTGTTGCCTTTTCAATTTAATTAGTAAAACAAAAAATGATACTTTATACCAAAAAACATTATAATTTTAGTTTTGGTATTTAATAAAGCACTTCTCTGCAGAAAAACGAAAAACTTATGAAGAGCATTTTATTACACAATTATTTCGAATCCTAGACGTCCTGGAGCAAAACGAGTGGAATTTTTGAAATCAGCAGCCCAAAATTAGGTAATATACGTGGGCAATTAGATGCATCTCAAACTTTCATCGGACAATATCAAACAAACATCTGTTGAACAGGGTCCAAGAGGAGAACAGGGACCGACAGGCCCCCCTGGCAGAGAGGGCCGTCGTGGACGTCCAGGACGTGACGGCGAAAGAGGTTTAACCGGCCTCCCGGGAAACAAAGGAGAACAAGGTTTGATAGGACTTCCGGGTCTGCCTGGAGACAAAGGGGAGAGAGGGGAACGAGGTATACCAGGGGAAACGGGTCTACCGGGTCACGAGGGCATGCAGGGAGAAGAGGGGCAACCCGGTTTACCGGGACTTACCGGCGAACAGGGCCCGAGAGGCTTCTCGGGGCCGAGAGGTATTCCCGGGATCCAGGGTCCCCCGGGGATTCCCGGTAGCGAAGGACCAGCAGGGAATAAGGGGCATCCCGGACCGATAGGTCAGCCTGGGGCGCCGGGTCAACCGGGATCTCAGGGGGCTTCCGGCCCGCCGGGGCCCCAAGGATTCATGGGACCTCCGGGAATAATGGTAGGATACTCTCTTAAAATGAATTAAGCTTAATTTTCATGTATCCGTTTGTCCGTCAGTCCGTTCATCCGGGAGCGCTCTTATTGGTCCAATTATAATTCGAAAATTATGACATTTTATCGGTCCGTCAAGTTTCAACTTCGTACGTCTGACAGAGAAAGGTTAAATAATTTTAACTCATCCGTCACTAAACATCTGTTTTTGACGCCTAACGTTATTTTAAGATAATTTATTTTCAAATATTTTTATATTTTTTCAATAAGATTGTAAAACGAAAATATTACGTACGTTATGTGAATAATGTTTTACTGTTAAGTTTTTATTTAATAAGAATAACGAAAAAAAAGAAAGGACAAACAAAAAAAAATTAAAACTAGAACTAAAAGGACCTGCTTTTTTAAAACTATACATTTTAATGTATATTAGGGCTAGTATATTCTTTTTATAAGGTATATTTACCTACCTTAAAATTTATTAGACAGCTAACTGTTAAAGTTACAATTGTTGACATAATTGTAACTATGTCATACCTAATGCTTAATTGTCATAGTTACTATGACAATTAAGCATTAGGTAAACTTAGTAAGTGAATATACTGACACTTAATTTCTATTTGTCGCAAAATCAATCCGTTAAACGTCATTAAAAAACGTATGCATGAAAATTAGAACATTTCTTATCGGACGATTTTAATGAAAAACTGACATACGGATGACGGACAAACGGATACATGAAAATTAGCTTTAGTCAAAAATATCTAATTATAAGTCATATTTGACTAATTGTCATAGCGAAAAATAATATTTAGTCAAATTCTACTGAATGAAATAGACAAATTAGTAGATTTAAATTTAAAAAAGTTTTGACCCAGCCTGGGATTGAACTCAGGTCTGTCACTTGTCAATAGGGTTGGGACAGTTGAAATTTTCAAATGAAATTTTTAATCCGAAAATTTCAACATTGCCTGTGAAAGTTTCAGAAATTTCATTGAAAGTTTCGCAATTTACTAAAAATTTCGCATAAATTTCACATGCGGCCTCCCCTGGGACCTTTAATAATAATTTACAACAGATTACGAATCGACCAATAAGAACGAGTTATCAAGCGTCTGGGCGTTTTTGTTTAGTTCGGCTTGAATTTGAATACACTATAAGTAATTATTGTTACTTATATGCATAAATTAATTTAAATAATCTAATCGAGTTACCAATTTAATTTGTAAATTAAATCAGACTTTAAAAGTTTTTTAAAAGTCATGATTAATTTAAACTTTTACTTTTGCTATAATTGCATCGGAAAACGGATAAAAAATGCCTTTGGCTCATAAAATTTTGATAAAGTTTCTTCAATTTTGTATAATTTCAGTAAAATATTCAAAAATAATAAATATATTAAATATAAAACAATGAAAGTGGCACAATCTCATTAGCTTACCAAAAAGTGCTTATGTCTTTTAGTTTTAGTAATTTTAAAAATATTTTAAAAGGAAATCTCAAAAAATTTGTGTTAAACATAGGTATTTACTATTTATATTATTGGTGCAGGGGCCCACAGAGGGGTAGGAGGTAAGAGAGGCAATTTGCCATGGTCCCCGAGTGGGCTTATTTCAATATTAATATATTACACTTAAGTGATTGAAATTTATTGAAAGTTTCAATAAATTTCATAAAATTTCAGAAATTTAGGAAATTTTAATAAATTTCATAAATGTCATGAAAATTTCAAGTGAAATTTCAGAAATTTAGAAAATTTTAATAAATTTCATAAATGTCATGAAAATTTCAAGTGAAATTTCAAGTACAAGCAAAAAGTAAAATTTTCCCAACCCTACTTGTCAAGCTTGTCAAGCTGTTGTCATAACCCATTCAGCTATCAGCCCCTCTTATAAAAATCAATTTTATTTGTCAATAAATATTTTTTAGTTGAATATATTATTTGTATTGCTGTTTTGAGCTAAACTTTTTGCATCTTTGTTTGTTTTTATGGGCCATTTAACCATTGAGCCTATATGCATTTAATTCAAATAATACTTTGTTGCTGGCCGCAAACGATTAAAGAAATTACTTTTAACTCTCAGAAATAGTCAAAGATGGTGACTAATCTTAAATTAGTCAAACTTTAACTATTTACGTAGTAATTTAAAATTGAAAACGACTATTTTATTAGTAAAAAATGCTGGTACTAATTCAAATAGTATAATTTGGACTATTTCATTTTTAGAGAGAGGGTTTAGAAAACTGTATTTAAACGTGGCGTCATCCAATACACTTCTATATTTTTCCGTTTGCTGTGTATATCCTACTCCTACTACTACACTCACAGGCAAAATAATCTATCCACTCAAATTTTCGATGAATTTCAATCGCAAATAACTTTTTTATTTGATGTCGGATTTAAGCGAATATTAAAGAATATTGTAGATAAATTAATGGACAATCGCTCACAATATTCTTTAATATTCGACATCAAATAAAAAAGTAGAAAATTTGTGTGGATCGATTATTTTGCATGTAAGTGTATATTGACATTTTAAAAAAATTTCGTGAATATTGAACTCATTATTCACAGGCTTGAGCGTCAGTGATTGATTACTCACTGTGATTTGGAGCAATCGGGTTTTAAATATACTACACATTTCTCCCTTACTTTTTTCGAGAAATGATTGTTGACTAATTTACCTGTTGTTTTCCATTTAGGGTCCAATGGGTAAACCGGGGATTCCCGGCCTTCCAGGGGCCGAAGGTTTGCCGGGGATAAACGGGCTACCGGGAACTCCAGGGCTAAAAGGGGAGCACGGACCGCCCGGTCCGCAGGGGTCCATTGGTTTCCCCGGGTCTCGTGGCGTTAAAGGGGACGAAGGTAAAAGGGGAGTGATTGGAGAGAAGGGCGAAAAGGGAGAAAGAGGATTGGAAGGCGATAAAGGAGAGCCGGGAATCAAGGGAGATGTTGGGGCTCATGGCCCGATAGGGGTGCCAGGGCTAGAGGGACCTGAAGGACCCAAGGTAGGTTAATTCTAACTTTTAAATAGCAATATTTTGTAACAGAAACTTTATTATTTCCTTAAATGGTTACTGTAACGTAATAAACATTTAAGTAAAACTTGGTTGCCCCCAAGAAGACTTTGCAACTTTAAAAAAGTTGTTATAAGTAAGAAAACGTTCAAGTAAATTTAATTTGCAGCAGATACTTTCAGTTGCTTCCTAAAGATTACATTATAATTATTTTTACTTTGTAGTCCCTTTGCAAGTTAAAACCTCGAAACTGGAACATGAGTTAAAAACTACAAACTTTTAAGTTATTATTTTAGTATTTGGAATGGTTATGGTACTAACCTTTGTGGAAATTTTTCTCTGTGAAAGTCTTACTTTCTTTGAAAAAGTCTGAATAATACTTATTAAGTCGGAAAAAGTCAGAATAAGACTTATTAAGTCGGAAAAAGTCTGAATAAGTCTTATTAAGTCAGACTAATAGCAAGATTTGGGAGTCTTCTGGAAGAGTTAATAAGACTTTTTAAGACTTAATAAGACTTTTAGTAGAGAAATGGTAGGTACCTATGGCGATAAAAATAAATATCCGAAATAATTCATAGAGGTTGAATTTGGTTATCTTAAAATAAAACACATAGAAAGGTATTTATTAACATGTTTGCTGTTGTTATAAGCCAAGTTTATTGCATAATTACCTATATAATAACATAGGTAAGATGTAATAATTATAACAATTATAATTTTATACATACGATGCGCTTGACATGCTTTCATTGTTTCCACCATAGAAAAAGGAGTTAATTTCATGTCTATAGACATGATATTTTCGATAGACTTATAAGACAAATATGGTTGATCTTCGTGTTTACGTACAGTGTTGCCATAAAAGTTCCTGACCATAAATTACAAAATACATACTAAAATAATAATAAAAATGTAACAGGATAGAATAAAATAATTGTGCATATTTAGTAAATATACAATATTATTTACTGAAAATTTCTTTTGTTATTATTTTGATAGAAATTTGAAAATCACCCGCAAATATTACGAAAATACCCGATTTTCGAGTAAAATACTTGCAAACGACAACAATGTGTCCCACTAACAGGTCAGCTGTGCTCTAATTGGTCAGCTAGCTGAGCTGGTCTCTCGATATTACGCCTAGAAGATTTGTTTGTAACAATGTTTAGATAGGTAAATATTTGCGAGTATCAAAAGAAACTATTAAAATAAAACGTACAGTGGCAACTCCTTTTTCTATGGTGGAAACAATGAAAGCATGCATATCAAGCGCATCGTATGTATACAATTATAATTGCTATAATTATTACATCTTACCTATGTTATTATATAGGTAATTATGCAATAAACTTGGCTTATAACAACAGCAAAAATGTTAATAAATACTTTTCTATGTGTTTTATTTTACGATAACCAAATACAACCTCTATGAATTATTTCGGATATTTATTTTTATCTCCGTAGGTACCTACCATTTCTCTACTAAAAGTCTTAGTAAGTCTTAAAAAGTCTTATTACTCTTCCAGAAGACTCCCAAATCTTGCTATTAGTCTGACTTAATAAGACTTATTCAGACTTTTTCCGACTTAATAAGTCTTATTCTGACTTTTTCCGACTTAATAAGTATTATTCAGACTTTTTCAGAGAAAGTAAGACTTTCTCAGAGAAAAATTTCCACAAGGGAACCAAAACTACCGTAATGAAAATTAAGGTGGTAAAACTTTTTTTACTGTACAGTACCACGTGGTAATGTAAATAATAAATTATTTTAATTGTTTGTAAATGGTTGTTTACTTTTAAATAAAAAGTAATTTTGTTGGTAATAGACGGTATTAATAATTAAATAAAAATTAATAAAAAATATTAAGATTTTTTTATTTATAAACATTATTAAATAAATAATTTTTTTATACTTCAATATTGATAAAGCGCATTTATTTTACAGAAACTAAATTCATAAGTTCAACAGTAAAATGTAAAGGGTTTATAAATTTACCTGCCTAACTAAACATTATATTGTTATTCTGGAAGTTATAAACTACCAGTACATATTTAATAAACGACGACATTGAAAAGCCAAGTCTGTAGTGGTTCCATTCAAAAAAAGGGATAGTATAATCTAATATAAGTTTGACAAAGACAGTTAATATAGAAGTAAAAACAAATAAATAAAAGTAATTATAACGCTCTAGCAACGATATTGAAACGTTTTAGTAACGTAGCAGCTACGTTCCAAATAGTAGCAGGGTTTATAGCTAGTGACATATTTGTTACCTTTTTGGAACTCAATAATTGTTCCCCACTTTAGTCGTAACTTAGTAATGAAAGAGTAATAATAAAGAGACTGGCGACTGTCGCAAAACACTTTAAAGTTTCTTCAATAGTCTCATATACGTAACAAATACTTAAATTGTTGCTTGGGTTTAGATTGAAGATAATTTGTATATTTGTATTTGCATCTTATAGGGTTTTGACGGTCCAAGAGGCGAAACGGGAGCAATTGGTCCCACGGGAGAGAAAGGCAAACAGGGGTTACAAGGTTTTATTGGATATCCAGGAGCTATAGGTGATAAGGGTGATAAAGGCGCTACAGGAAGATTGGGACCAGCGGGAGAAAAAGGAGACAGGGTAATAATACTAAAATTCTCATTCAATAAGTATATGGCCTTACTAATAAAAACATAATTTTTTGAAGAAATATCATTTTATTTATTTAATATAGTCTTCATCGAGTTTGTCTCATAGCATACCGTATTTTCATTTTTCCTCTAGACAGGCTGCATTCGGTTTTTAAGAGTGTAGAAAAAAATCGTTAGGAGCGAAGTCTGGCTACCTTGCTGGCCAGCGAATAGCGCCCCTGGTAGAATCTATCCTTTGGAGAAAATCTCTTGTAAATACTCCATCACTATTCTTGTGTTATGTGATGGGCAACCGTCCTGTTGATACCAAACGTTATCCAAATTTGGGGTTATGTTTTGGATTGCAGGAATTTTGAAGAAGATCCAAATATCTCGCTCAATTTAAATTGCCACCAATTACAAAGGGACCAATAATATTCCCATAAATACCAGACCACACGTTCAACTTTTCAAGATACTGAGTCTTTAAGTTTAGTTGCCTGTACTCATTTTCAATAGACCAGTACCGGACAATAGCAGGATTGTGCTTTCCACGTAATGGAAATGTGGATTCGTCGTTAAATATTATGTTTTCAATGATGATTCGCGCGTTCCATCATATTTTCACAAAATTCCATTCTCCGGTACTAGTCGTCTTGAAAAATTTCCTGATGTACTTGGTATTTATAGGAACGATATTTATTTTTTTAAATATTTTGTGGACTTTACCCACACTAATGCCGGTCTCTTCGGCTATTTTAGGAATTGATGTATTTGAATCTTTTTCTAACATTGCACAAACCATTATTTATTTCATCTCCGCATCAACATCAATACTGTGACATTCGTTTTAAACCTTTGATAACGTTTGTTATTTCCAATTGAGGGAATAGAATGTTCCGGATATTTAACTGCGAATAGGTCTCTTGTTTGACGTAGAGAATTGCCCACTAAAGACCAGCTTATCATGTCAATTTTCTCTTGCAATGTGTAGGACATTGTAAGTTATAATTTTAAAAATACACTAGCAAATGCAAAACAAAACTGAATCCTCGCCTACGCCGGCAATCTGCTTACATTGCACTCGAGTGTTCAGGTATCAAATGAAAATGCGGTATACAAAAAATTATATACAAGCTGGGGAATTTAAGCAAAAGTTTATCAAACGTAAAATATATAATCTGCAATCTTAGGGAAACCCTGGAAGTCCCGGCGAACGCGGAGAGCAAGGTCCGCGAGGATTCAGAGGTTACAGAGGAAAAAGGGGACAGGACGGCTTGCAGGGAACCAAAGGGGACACGGGACAACCTGGACCGCCTGGACCGTCCGGAGAAGTGGGTCCCTCGGGCCCGGAAGGCCCTAGAGGACTGGTAGGGACTCCCGGCTCGCCCGGAGCCGGAGGAAAAGACGGGGTTCCGGGACCTTCGGGGGAAAGAGGTGCACCGGGGGAAAACGGTTCGCCCGGAAAACCGGGCGAGCCGGGGGTTATAGGGCCGCAAGGTCCAATCGGTGAACCGGGTCCGCTGGGAGAACCGGGTATACCAGGAACGCCGGGGATACCGGGAGAGCCAGGTTTACCAGGAGAATCAGGAAAAGAAGGGGCCCCAGGACCTTCCGGGCCAACGGGCAAACCAGGTCCTCAGGGGGACAGTGGACTACAAGGTTTTCCTGGAGAAAGAGGACACAATGGACCTCCGGTAAGATTTAATAACGCTAGTCAACAGCAATATCTATGTAAAATTGTCCGCTGAATCCTATAATAATAATAATAATATTTATTAATTAAACAGTTAACAGCCAGTCAAGTAAAATTACAAAATAAACACTAGGAACACCAAAATGAAAAATATCTTAAAGTATATCATTAAGAAACTCTTTTACATAATAATATTCTCTTTCTAAACAAGAAGCAAATGACGTAGGATGTCTGCAATCTGCATTTAGTTACGAGTTACTTAAGAATTGAAAAGAGGCAGACATATTAGCGCTTGGGTTATTTAAAGGTTATTTTGTCTTTATACTTAATTTGGAAACATGTTTGTTCATAATGTTTTTATTACAAATTGATAATATTAATTGTAGGAAAAATAACCAGTCTACAAAATGTCAGATATATATTTATTCAGTTACCCTACCCATCATCGTTGTTAAAACTCAAAATCCTACATTAATGTTATTTCTATAACACCAAAATACTATAAAGTGGCTAATTATAGGATATAATTTCACTATTTTGTAAAAAAAATTAAATAAGACGTCTTTAGAACATTTAATGAAGAAATCTTTAAGACGTCTATCAAAAGACGTCCTTCAGACGTCTTTTTTAGATCTTCAAACTTTCAGGCATAATACAGACATACAAAAGACATCTTCAAGACGTTGTGTGCTATCTGGGTTACCTCTTGATGACCTTATTAAATAGCAAGCAGAACTTTTACTTAAATTATTTATTTGTGTTTCCCATGTTAACTTTATGGTTTCCGCAGACTCAATTGATTTACCTATAATTGGAATAAAAAGCTCATAATCTGGTGAAATCGCATATAATAATGACTAGGCGAACTTTTGTTATGACCATGTTTCAGGGTACACCAGGACTCAAGGGGGACATTGGACCAGCAGGTTTACCCGGACCACAGGGCGATAAAGGGGCACAGGGAGACGCAGGCAAGGATGGGGCCCAAGGGCTCGAAGGAAGAAAAGGACCTACGGGATCCCCAGGACCTGGCGGTGCCAAGGGAGAGCATGGCGAACCCGGACCCCCTGGTGTTAGCGGGAGAGATGGACTTCCTGGGCAGAGAGGATTAGCGGGCGCGCCTGGGCCTGTTGGACCCCCTGGAGAGGATGGCGATAAAGGAGACATAGGGCCACCAGGCGAGAAAGGATTTAAAGGGTCGCAAGGAGAATCTGTAAGCATAATTATACTTATTGTAATTGAAATGTCAGTTTGAAAAAATACTTTAAAATATGTATAAATATTGATCTCAAGACATATGGGCAAATTTTCGTTAAATGTACATTTGCTGTCCCCAGCTAATTTTATTTTTGACCTTTATTGATAAGTTTTGTATTTATTATATTTAAATACCCCCTTCCTGTTAGGACCCTTTGTATTTTTCTTTTAAATTACTTTATGTTTCTATATATGGCAGAAAAACTAGGTGAAATGTCCTGTAACCTAACTTTCCCCAGAGGCGATTTTTTAATTTAATTATTATATTCTTCTTCTTTGCAGCTTCCTTCTGAAAAAATAAATTATTTTTGAACAATGGAAAGTTCTTTTATTCGTATATAAAAATAAAATAGTTTTCTACAAAGTAGTTTAAACAGAAAAAAATATTAAAGTCGACATTCAAAAATCTTGTCTTTTTCCTAACGTCGTCTTCTATGCCGACTGCTTCGAAATAGAGACACGAGATAGAGATTCTATCGTGTTTTTCTAGAGGGCATACATGTTTGACAGTTCGTCAACAACAAGTGTGTGATTTTTTTTGTAAATATTTTAAAGGTAAGATTTTTTTGCGTACACTTTTGGTGTCTTTTACAAAACGCTACATACAACTCTTGTTTTAGAAGTTAACTTTTTTATTTTCATTTTGTATTAGAGCATAGTAGAAATTCCAAACAAATGCCGAAAGATATTTACATTTAACAGTATTTTTGAAAAATAACGTTTGAGAAAGTCAAAAGCAATGTGTCATAAAACGTTCAGGAAGATGCGTTAGGAGGAGGACAATGTTTCATTTCTTCCTTGTGTTCCTTCCCTATTTCAGATTAACCCTATAGGTTTTATTTATTTAAAGTTTATTTTTGTTATTTATAAACTTATAGAATTTTTTTGCAGTATATTACACTGTTCTATCACAAAGGAAAAAAAATCGATCAAATTGACCTGCCTGGACAAAATATATATAAAAAATGTACATTTAACGAAAATTCGCCCATATTTTAGAAGCTTGACTGGACATTCCTAAAATAAACTGAGCACTACTCAATGTGTCGCGACCAAAAAGTTCGTTCTTTTTCAAAACGACATAACTTTTTTGTCTCTTGAACGATTTTATTTTGGTTTGTGATGTCTGCTAGCCCCATCCTCTGGAAATTCATGCTATAGATATGAAGCTCACGGTTCTTCAAATAAATTTTCTACAGGGTGATATGTAAAACGGTGAAAAATTTCAATAACTTCATCCAAGCCCGGAATGGAATCTTAGCAACAAAAATATGATTTTTTTACAAAAGAGTACCTACAATTGATGATTTTTTGTAGCTATCCACTAAGCCTTTTTAGGAACAAGAAGATAAGATGGTGAAAGATTGTTCCTTGAATAATTCTGAACAAGCGACAAGCAACAAACTTTCATTATTTTCAGAGGAACCTAAGCAAAGACCACTTTTCAAAATGACATTTTGGTGAAATTTCTTCATAATTTTGACCTGATTGGTATTCAGTTGTCAAATTTAAGTTTCAGATAAATCAGATGATGAGGCTAGCACCCATCACAGACCAAAATAAAATCGTTCAAGAAACAAAAAAGTAATGTCGTTTTGAAAAAGAACGAACTTTTTGGTCGCGACACATTGAGTGGTGCGCAGTTTAGTTATATTTTGCATTAAAATGTCATTCTTAAGAGAATAGTGTTGGTAGAGTCTCTTAGGGCCGGTTTTTCAATTAGGGTTTAAACCTTGGTTCAGGGGAACAGATCAGTTAATGAACTCAGTTCACAGTCAAATGAGTTTTTCAATGTAGACTCAACAGCAGTTCTGTTGAACTTAGATCAGCGGTGTCAACGTTAAGTTGGTACAACCGAATTTAGTATACGCCTACATTAATAGTAGTTAAAACTGTCATTTTGACAAAAGGATTTTGTTTGTTTTGGAGTTTTGTTTATCTTTTCTGTTTTAAAAAGTTATAATCTATGCGAAAGGGTGATTTAAAACAATTTACTATTGATAAAGAACAATAATTATTATTTATTATGGATAAAAATCGTACTGCCAACTTTACCTCTTTTAAGGAGGAATTATTTGTATGTATTTCGTTTTATATTATAAAATGAATTTGTCGTTTTTTGTTACATGTGATGAATTTTACTAAAATCTATTACCTATTCAGTAACTATTTTTATAACTAACCTATTGGTCGGATTTGCAATAACTGGTCTAATTAAGTCCACTATCCTACGTACAAAAGGTTTGGAAAACCGAAATCTGGCAAAAAGTTCATCATTAATCCACCTTTCAAAATGATTCGGTCTTACCCGTGGCCTGTGCACACGAAGTTGAATATTATTTAGGAATTCGCCAATTTCCTCATCATCCTCACTAACTACCTCAAACATATCCATTGGTTTATTATAACAGCAGATCACAAAACAAGAAATAAACAACGTAATACAAAATAAAGCAGAGAAAAATTAAGTTGAACTTCGTTTAAACGGCCAACAGTGACAGTTCATCTTTTGATTTAGTTTAAACCAAATTCAAGCTTGAACTTTGATTGAAAAACGGCATATTTTGTTTGAACCAAGTTCAAATGCTGAACCAAGTTTAAACTATGATTAAAAAACCGGCCCTTAATAATTAATGCTGAATTATTTTCACCCTATTTCCAAAGTGAGACTTTAAAACAAGCAGACGAGTTTGACACCGTTTAAAGACTCCAATAAGACTCTAATAAGTCCTAGTTGACCATAAAACCGCTAGGGCAGTTATTTATAAAATGTTAATTTAATAATTTTACAAGGGTCCAGTCGGAAGTCCAGGACCACAAGGAATCAGAGGCGAGTTGGGTCCCGTCGGTCCTCCGGGAGAAAAAGGACCGCCGGGAGAGATGGGACGACGCGGTTCCAAAGGCGAAGACGGTCCCACAGGTTTGCCGGGACCTTCGGGTCCAGCAGGCCCGCACGGGTTGCCGGGACCGCCGGGCATCAAGGGCGAAATCGGGGACGTGGGTCAAAAAGGACCGCCGGGCGCCCCTGGAAATCAAGGAGAAGCCGGCGAGCGCGGTCCCAAGGGGGTCGAGGGTTTGCCCGGGCCTCTGGGACCCGAAGGGTCTCAGGGACCCAAAGGTGACGACGGACCGCCCGGTGTAGCCGGACCACCGGGCAACGATGGAAGACAAGTAAAATAACTAATAAATCCTTAACTCATTGCTTATAAAGTAAATAACTCTTTTTAAAGGGCGAACCGGGAGCTCAGGGACAAAAAGGAGAGGACGGTAAAGCCGGCATACCCGGAAATCCGGGACCAAGAGGTCCGGTCGGCCCGGAAGGAAGCAGAGGTGCTCCGGGTTCCGCAGGTTTTCCAGGTCCAACGGGCGAACCCGGGTTAACCGGTCTTAAAGGGGAACCTGGAAAAGACGGCGAGCCTGGAAAACAGGGGGAAGCTGGAACGCCTGGAGATTCAGGACCACCCGGACCTGTTGGTCCGGCAGGACCAGCAGGACGACCGGTAAGTTCCTTTAATTAAATTTATTTTTGCAGTTTCACTCACTGGAAAACTCACTTTTCTTTACTTGTAGAACAATCTACTATTTTCATTGTCACCATCATTTCCTTAATGCATCCAATCCACTTTTACTCTGCCATTACGCAGCTTATATAACCAACCGATTCCAGAAGATTCTCAAACTGTTCTACTTTTAACGGACATAGGAATTGAGTTTTAAATTTGGGGACGCGAATTTTATTTTTATTTGTTGACTAGGGCTATTGTCTTACATAATACTAACAAATATACGAATAGGGACCAGAAGGTGTGGCTGGATTGCAAGGAAACACGGGTTTACCTGGAGAAAAAGGAGATAGCGGAACTATTGGAGCGCCAGGAATTCAAGGACAACCGGGATCCCAAGGAATACCAGGTCCCCAAGGTTTACAGGGTCTACGAGGATCGCCAGGAGCGGCTGTAAGCATTTAATAGCTACACTCACAGGCAAAATAATCGATCCACACAAATTTTCGACGAATTTCAATCGCAAATTACTTATTTATTTGATGTCGGATTTAAACGAATATTAAAGAATATTGTAGATAAATTAATGGAGAATCGCTCACATTTTAAAAATTACTAAAAAATCCACGTACGTTTATAATATACAGGATTAAACAAAAAGATGTTTTTTACCATAAGTTTAAGACACTCTGTAGAGTGGCAAAACCGTATATTGTTCTAAATTAAGTTTTAATTATCAAGTCACATCTATTTTTAACAGTTTTGTTTTTGGTTCACCTTGATATATTTATTTTTGTGGAAAATATGGATTTTTTTTTAAAAAACATTGCAATTTACAATATTTTTCCTGTATGAAGAACTAAGGTTGCTATGGTTCATCCATAGCCTATGGAGGATGACAGTTACAGTTTTCTTGAATCATCTTATACTTGGACATGTCATATACAGCTTTCAAAAGCTATCAAATTGTTTTTTGTAAATTATTGTGTTAATTTTGAGGTGTCTTCTTACTTTTAAAAATGTCTCCGACTGATGTTGCCCTTTCTACTTTACTTCTTGTGACGTTTAAAACAGTTGCCAAGTAATACTGTGACCGTCCATCCTGGATTAAATTAATGGCTCTGGCAACATCAGTCGGAGGCATATCCATTTTTTAAAGTAAGAAGACACCTCAAAATTTAAACATTAATTTGCAAAACCAATTTGATAGCTTTTGAAAGCCTTGTATGACATGTCCAAGTATGGGATGATTCAACAAAACTGTCACTGTCATTCTCCATAGCCTATGGATTGACCATAGCAACCTTAGCTCTTCATACAGAAAAATATTGGAAATTGCAATGTTTTTTTAAAAAATCCATATTTTCCACAAAAATAAATATATCGAGGTGAACCAAAAAAGAATAGATGTGAATTGATAAATAAAACTTAATTTAGAACAATATACGGTTTTGCCACTCTACAGAGTGTCTTAAACTTATGGTAAAAAACATCTTTTTGTTTAAACCTATATATTATAAACGTACGTCTATTTTTTTAATAATTTTTTAAAATGTGAGCGATTGTCCATTAATTTATCTACAATATTCTTTAATATTCGTTTAAATCCGACATCAAATAAAAAAGTTATTTGCTATTGAAATTCATCGAAAATTTGTGTGGATCGATTATTTTGCCTGTGAGTGTATAACAATACATTTATACAAAAATAATTTTGTTACTTTATCAATAAGGGTGAAAATGGGCCACCAGGAAATCCAGGTCTACCAGGTCAAGCTGGAAAGATTGGCGAGACTGGGCCTAGAGGCCCAAAAGGCGACCGCGGCAGAAGAGGTCCCAAAGGTCATAGAGGTGACCATGGAATTAATGGGTTAAAAGGGGATCAAGGCGAAAAGGGTATAAAAGGAGAAAGGTGTGAACGCGGTCCAGATGGTCCTAAGGGAAACATGGTAAGTAAGGTAGAGGGAAGTGTTTGAGTATGTAGTCTGCTGAAATTCGGAAACTGTTGTGAGCAATTGTTTGCCCCATTGTGCTTTAGTGTAAAGGTATCGATAGATATTTGGTAGAAATTGTATTTACGTTTTTTTTTTTCTTCTAACAATTGGAAGCTGCATTTAAATTATTTATCCTATATAATCACGAAATGTCCCCCGATGGTGTTACCCCGTGATATTTAATAAAACTAAATGAGTTTGACCTACACTTTTATTGTGTTTTGATCTTTCATAATTAGGTAGATATTACAGCTCAGGTTCCAGATTTTTAACCGCAATTAATTATTTTTTACAATGTTTTAACAGTCTAAAACCTATCCTCCGTGACTGTTACTCTTTCTAGGTAAACCTATATATTTTCAAATATCTGAGGTAGTAAAAGCATACTAAAAATATCAGTTCACTAAGTAAATTAAACACATCCAAAGCAATCGACTCAAATATAAAATATTATTAAAAATTAAAGGAAATAATTTGTATAACCATTTATGTAGGTGTTACGAAAATTGATTCTATCCTCCGTGAATCTTTTTTTGCTTTAAATTGTATGCAACGGATGGCGCTTTAATCATTTTAAATAAGCAAAAACCTCTGTTTACGAGATTATAGATGCATATGTGATTCCTGAAGGTCAGATAGAATTTATATGCAGATGAGAGTGTTGCTGTTTTATAATTCAAAAGTTTAAGTTGATTAATTTGCTATTTAAAAACCTATCCACCGTGAAGTGTAATATCTCAGTAAGTAGATTTTTTTATAAATATTTTATGTATGTACAATTATTGTATTTTTAAAAAATATTTAGGTTTCCAAAAATACAATAACTTGTTTCAAATATACAAAGGGATGTTTAAAAAACAAACGAAATCCTAACCTCCGTGAAGCTATCTTCCGTGAAGGTCTATTATTCAAAATGTATGATTTCTTAAAATTCTGTTAGTGCAGAACCACTTATGTTATGTTATTACTAGACCTGGTGGCTTCCCAAAAACCCCATTCTAGACTAACAGAGAATCAACCAAAAATAAAAAATAATCATTTTCACTTGGGGGACATCTTAATACACTGCTGTTCATAAGTTAGGGAACCCCCTTTATAGTTAAGACGCCGGTATATTTACTTTTAAATAAGGCAACTTTCTAAAATTTCAAATTAATATATTTTTATATTATAACATTATGAATAAACTGGTATTTTTTGTATGTTTTGTTTAATTTTAAGGTATTTTACTAAACTGAAAATGCTCTGACAAAAAAATTAATGCGGTTGTAATTTTACAGAAGGTTCCCTAACTTTTGAACAGCAGTTTATATTCACCCAATGGCTCTTAACTTTCTCTTATACGGCTTAGAGGTATTTAGTTTCTTATGTTTATGTTTATGTTAGGCAAATATCAAAGCTGGTTGTTTATTTTAGTTTTGTTCGTTAAGTTTTAAACTTTTTAATTTTGCTGGGACTGGCCTCTTAAGTTTATGCTTATTTATGTTTTGAGACGTTCTTACCTAATGATTGGTATATTAACGCTGTTTTCAATAATTAAGATTGTTAATTAAAAGGTTTTTGTGACGAATTTGCCTGTTGGTCATGCGATTAATTAGTACTTATCAGATTTTTGCAGATGATGGCCCTTTCCACTCTTGGGTAGACTCGTTTGTTATTTACATAAGGTGATTCATATTGGCCTGGGGTTAGATCGCCAGGTATGCTGTCACTTATCACTTAATCACTTCGATATCTGTATAGTCTTTTTTCACTATATTCCCTTATTGAGGGTTGCTTTATGCACTAACTTAAGGTACACTGATCGTTCTTGTCCAGGCAGTAAATCTTTGCACTAATTTCACACAGTATTTTCCTTAAACTAAACTGTATTAGAGAGTTTTATGTTTCTTTAAGACGTATTATTATTAACAGTGATCGAATTCGTTCGAGAGCACGTCTGTTTCAGTACTATTATTATTAATTATGTATGTGAATTTTAGGGGCCAGTTGGGCCGCAAGGATTGAAGGGGAACGACGGTCCAACAGGATTGCCTGGTATGGAGGGGCCCCCGGGTCTTAAAGGTCAAGAGGGTGTGGCTGGAAACAAAGGAGAATCGGGACCCAGTGGAGCACCTGGACCCCCCGGCCCACCCGCTGAAATGCCACTGTTACCACCCGAAATACTTTTCCAAAGAGAGCTTGTGAGATCCAGAAGAAGTGTGGAAGACTTGATGTAAGTATTATTTTTTATTTTGTCGTACTATAACTGATTATTATAATTTAGTTCTGAGTATGAGGATATAGTTGACACAACGAAAAAGACTGATACTTCGTATGAAGAAAATGTTACTTCCAATAAAGACGATATTAATGGTAAATTCTTGGATATGTACAATACAATTTACAATATGAGGCACGATTTGGAAAATACTAGAAAACCAGTGGGTGTAAGGGAAAATCCAGTCAGAAGTTGTAAAGATTTGTATTATGGTCATCCACAATTCCCTGATGGTAACTGTATATAAAATATGTAAAATACCTACTAAATATTTTTGTCACAGGTTGGTACTGGATAGATCCCAACTTAGGAATGAAAGACGACTCCATCTATGTTTATTGCAACATGACTGCAGAAGGAGAAACTTGTGTTTTCCCAGACAAACACAGTTCCAACATGCCCAACATTCCATGGAGAAAAGAAGGTGCCAAAAAAGAATGGTACTCCAACTTGAGAGGAGGATTCAAAGTAAGAATTATTCTGTCTTAAAAAACTACTCTGTAGGTTATCAAATTATATTTATTGGACAATTAACATTAATACTGTAAAAACAAGAGTTCTATAAATAGTTACCTTAAAGTCAAATCATTAGATGGCGCTGTATACAATTATAAATATCTCAGTCGGTAATAATATAGAACTACTTTATTTTGGGTCCAATATAGGACAAAAAAGTTAGCACGCTACTTTGGTGGTAAGATTTTTTTTTTTGTTAAGAGCAGGGCTGTGTTTAAATTACAATAAAAAATATTTCTAAAAAGTGTACAGATCAGTGTGTGGTAAAAATGTGTTCCTCGTGGTTTAAATATTGTCACTTTAATGCGTTTTAATTTTAATTCTGAAAACAAACAGTAAAATGGCCAGTGTCCAATTATTGGTTTGTAAAAAATGTAAATTTCTATTATTGGACATATGTCCAATATCATTCTCTATTTATATCCCGGACATTTACCAGCCAATTCTTATGTAAAATTGTCCCCTGAATCCGAAAAGACCGTCAAAAACTATAAAAGTTAAGCAGTTTTTGGGATATAGTCAATTCCATATTATATGTAAAATTGATTATATTTCAAAACTGTTCTACTTTTATAACTTTTGACAACATTTTCGGATTCAGCAAATAATATTTCATAGGAATTGACTGCTAAATGTCCTGGATACAAATTGCTGTTGACGAGAATTATTAGTGGCTGCTTTTTCGCTATGACATTTTTGACTATTGTTTGGGGTGACAAAAAAAAATATGGTGAAAGTTTGAGTCTATAATATTAATATTAAGAGGTCTATCATCGCAATTTTGGATTTTTTTTTGAGCGAGTTTTTGTCTCAGAACTCCCAAATTATTGAGTTTAACAAAATTGACTTAGGAATATTTTTTGAAGAAAATTAAATGCTCTACAAAAAAGGTTTGATTGGAAATTCCCCTCAGATGAACCCTTTTCTTACAATCATGCCTTAAAAATTGGTATAGTTTTACAATTTGATCTTTTAACTATAATATATATTAGGGTGAGCCAAAAAAACTAACCTATCGGATTTATGGGTTAAAATGAACCTACATACCGAGAAAAAAATTTCCCTGCAAGGCAAAATTTTTTGCTCAATTTTAAAAGGTGTCGGTGAGCATTCTAAGTTTTCCATTGAAATAACACGTAAAAAAATCTTTTTTCATTAAAAAGACTATAACTTTTGAACCGTTTGAGATAATTTTTTTTACGTCGCGGATTCTTGTAGAGCATAAAATTTCCCAAAGAATCTATACCAGGATTTTTTTTTTAATTCAAAAATTCGTATGTTTGAAAGCTTTGAAAAGTGTAAAAAATCACTAAAACTGCAGTTTCAATGGAAAACTTAGAATGCTCACCGACACCTTTTAAAATTGAGCAAAAAAATTTGGCTTGCAGGGAAATTTTTTGCTCGGTATGTAGGTTCATTTTAACCCATAAATCCGATAGGTTAGCTTTTTTGGCTCACCCTAATATATATATAATAATTCATTTTTAGAGAGTAAGTAATATAGCGATTTCTTCGTCAAAGGGCATCTCGCAGAATAGCAGTGATTTAAATACAGTGCATGATAGAGAGCATAAAACACTAATGGCAACAAAATTAATAAATTCGGAAAATACTTTTAACATACCACCCGAAAAAATATTAGATATATAAATCATCCTGTTCCGGCCTAAACATTATAAATGCTTCACAAACTAGAGATACCACACTTAATGATACTTGCAACAAACTATTTCAGAAGTCAGACCAAGTAATTAGTAGTTACCTTCAGAATCCGGAAAAGGGATGAGGAATCCGAGAAAGAAATATATGAATTATATGATATTTACAAAAACGAAATAAAAAAATTACCTAAAACAGCAATTTATCTTTAAAAAATATTTAACAATTTATGTTATTTGATCTAAAGTTGTCATGTTTATATAAAAATTGTATGTCCAATAACTATGGTCCATGTGTCCAATTACTATATAAAATGTCCAATTACTATACATTTTTGAATGATTTTATAAAACTTTTATTAAAAATTCAAATCTTCTTATTTTTAAGTAAACGTAAATAAAGTTTAAACAAACAAACTATCCTTTTTATATATTTACCCTATAGGGTATATATATATATGTGCAATATACAGGGTGTTTCATAATATATGCGCAGGACTTCGGGATGTGATAGCTATGAGCTAGCTCATCCAAAAAGATGAAAAAAGTCGCTATTAACTTACCCTCTAAAATGCACAATTTTCGAGATACAGGGTATTGAAATTTTAGAAAAAAATTCGTTTTTTTCGAATATCTCCGGAACCGTTTATCGTATAAAAAGCAGCTTTTGTAAGCATTTTTTACTCATAATAAGCTATGTTTTGTGCCAGAAAAAAAATTTTTTTACTCATAATTGGTGGAGATTTTAAAGGGGTAGCGGGTGTTTTTCTCCTCAACTTCTACGGTTTTGAGAAGCCCATTCGAACCGCCAATGTTTTCTATACAAAAAGGTACTCTTGGTCAATGACATAAGCTCTAAAGTTGAACGTTTTCGAGAAAAATCGACTTTTATGTTTAAAAACATGGTCAATTTTTTGAAAAAAAAATTTTTTTACTAATTAAACAAAATTTATTTTAAAGTTAGAACAAGTAACAAAACCAAACGATAATTGCAGAATTAAAAAAAAAATAAAAAATGATTTTTTACACAAACGCTGAAATTTGCGAAATGCGTTACTTACCTTTACGGTTTGGAGAATTTTACAAAGACAAATTTTGAATCATTTTTTATTTTTTTTTAATTTTGAAATTATCGTTTGGTTTTGTTACTTTTTCTATCGTTAAAATAAATTTTGTATAATTGGTAAAAAAAATTTTTTTTCAATAAATTGACCATGTTTTTAAACATAAAAGTTGATTTTTCTCGAAAACGGTCAACTTTAGAGCTTATGACCAAGAGTACCTTTTTTGTATAGAAAACATTGGCGGTTCGAATGGGCTTCTCAAAACTATACTTTTTTCAGGAGCGTAGAAGTTCAGGAGAAAAACACCCGCTACCCCTTCAAAATCTCCACCAATTATGAGTAAAAAGAAATTTTTTTCTGGCACAAAATATAGCTTATTATGAGTAGAAAATGCTTACAAAAGCTGTTTTTTAAACGATAAACGGTTCCGGAGATATTCGAAAAAATCGATTTTTTGTCTAAAATTTCAACACCCTGTATCTCGAAAATTGTGCATTTTAGAGGGTAAGTTAATAGCGACTTTTTTCATCTTTTTGGATGAGCTATCACATCCTGAAGTCCTGCGCATATATTATAAAACACCCTGTATTTAAGACACTTAAAGATAGTTTAAAAGCATTTTAGACAGTGTATATTTAGAGTTAACGTTAATTTTAGATAAGCTACGAATCTGTAGGAGTGGTACAAATGAACTTCCTGAGGTTATTGTCAGAAGTGGCCTACCAGAACTTCACGTACACCTGCATAAACAGCGCAGCGTGGCAGAATCACCATTCGCACAAATTCGACACTAGTATTAAGTTAATGGGCCAAAATGATCACGAATACTCGCACAGCGGCCCAAGGCCAATCGTTTTATCCGACGGCTGTAAGAGTAGAAACGACAAGAGCGAAACCGTTTTCGAGGTTAGGACGAAAAAAATGCAGCACCTGCCATTGGTCGACTTCCTACCGATGGATTATGGCGCGCCGAATCAGGCCTTTGGATTCCTTGTGGGGCCCGTTTGTTTTAAATAAGAAAATACACATTGGAGTACTCTGTTTAAAACAAATTTGTTTACTCATGATATTAATCTAGGTTTAAATATTTTCAATACGTTTATTTGTTATAGCACCTATTTATTTTTCATTTTAGTCAAAGAATGTACATATTTAGGTATTAAGTTAAGTTATCACTGCCATGTATTTTATAATTTAATTAGGGTATTATAAGAAATAATAAAATATATATTTTATTTAAACTTTTTTTAATTTAAACTAGGTATTACCACAATCCACAAGTTGTATTACAATAGGTTCACAATCCACGTTGCGTGGATTGTGAATAGGTTTTTCTCAATAACAGTTCGGTACCTTAAAATGACAAGTTTCTAGGTGCAGTTGCAATGTTAATACTTGTAGTGGCTTAATAATAATTATAATGTATATTAGACTGGGCCAAAAAAATCGCCTATTTTTTTTGGAAAGTATATCGAATATATTGTTTGCGGTGACAAAAAAAAATTATGGTGAAAGTTTGAGTCCATAATATTAATATTAAGAGGTCTATCATCGCAATTTTCGATTTTTTTTTCCTGAGCGAGTTTTTGTCTCAGAACACCCAAATCATTGAGTTTAAGAAAATTGACTCAAGAATATTTTTTGAAGAAAATTGAATGCTCTACAGAAAAGGTTTGATTGGAATTTCCCGTCAGATGAACCCTTTTCTTACAATCATGCCTAGGGTTGCAACTTTTCATGAAAAGTTGAAATTTTTGAAAAGTTGGCTTTTATTTTTCGAAAAAGTTCGGAAAAGTTGGAAAAGATGGAAAAGTTGAGTTTTTTGTAATGTAAACGTATAAAACATAAATAATGCTTGTCAATGTATTAAAATAATTTATTTCTTATGTATTTATACATACGTAACAAAAAAAATATCAAACAAAATAAAATGAACAGACAACATAATAACAACAAAAATAAACTAGATTTGAATTAAAAAAATCATATTTTTTAAGTAAAAAAGAATAGAAATTTATACACACCATAAAAAAAAACATACGAAATAAAAAATTATTACAAAAAAATATGAAGCAAAAATTATTAAATTTATTGTTGTTAAAAATTATGGAAATTTACAAGTAAAAATTTAAAAAGAAAAAGAAAAGAAAACTTTCTTCTTTTCCACTTTTATATTTTCACTTGCAAATTTCCATAATTAAAAAAAAATAATATTTTTTCTCGATTTTTATGTAAGAATGTCATATTCTCGCACGCAAAATCGTTGAAGAATGAAGCTCATTCTTAAACGATTTTTGGTAACATTTAGTTTTTAAGTATTGGTACCCCCAAAATGTCAAACTGATTAATAACCTCAAATTCATTACTTTTATTGAAAATGAAGCCTTTATTATTGTTTTGTAATATAAAGTTTGCTCCAACAATGCATTTTAATGCAAAATTTTAAGTTTAATGTGTAAAAGTGCAGTTCAGGTTGTACTTGTGCAGGATAACAAATATTGTCATTTTGTGTTGCCAACTGACATTTTGCGAGAAAAATCCCCTAACTAACAACGACCACAAAACAATTAAAAAAACCTAAATAAAAGTTAAAATCGAGAAAATAGTATAAATCACACGTTGCAGAAGGCTATTCTCGCACTCATTCGTTCGTCCACTCGCTCCTTCGTCGCTCGAGGCCAAATTTCGAATTCGTGCGAGAATATGTGGCCTTCTGCAACTTGTACTTTAATATACTATTTCATACTATGTATAAATTTAAAATACGTTATAATAAAACAATCTTTATATAATAGACAATGTTATTAGCAGACACCATTTTTGATAAAGTTTGACAGAATTTTATTCCAAAAAACAATGCTTTTAGCATGTTTTACTAAAAACACTTTAAATCTAGCGATTTATATCGAATTTTGACCAAATTATCTACCAAAATTTTTTTTATGGTAGTCGAAACACTGGTTAGAAGTCAACTCATTGTTCATTGGCTCCCACCTAATAACTTTTCCAACTTTTCATAGGGGGTGCCGAACTTTTCCAACTTTTCCAACAACTTTTCGACCGAACTTTTCCTTGTTTGCAACACTAATCATGCCTTAAAAATTGGTATAGTTTTACAATTTGATCTTTTAACTTTGGAATTTTGTAATTCAAGTAAAAATCAGTAACCTGAAAAAAACGATAAATATTCTTATGGGAAATCAAATGCTCTACAAAAAAAGTCTTTTATCATTTTTGGCTAAATTCACTCCATCAAAAGTTATTCAAGGTTAAATTTGAAGTCAAAACGAAATTTTAACCTTGAATAACTTTTGATTGAGTGAATTTAGCCAAAAATGTTAAGAGGCTTTTTTGTAAAGCATTTGATTTCCCATAAGAATATTTATCGGTTTTTTATGGGTACTGATTTTTACATGAATTACAAAATTCCAATTTAAAAGATCAAAATGTAAAACTATACCTACCAATTTTTAAGGCATGATTTTAAGGAAACGGTTCATCTGACGGAAAATTTCACTTTAATCTTTTTTGTAGAGCATTTAATTTTCTTTAAAAAATATTTATAAATCAATTTTGTTAAACTCAATGGTTTGGGAGTTCTGAGCCTAAAACTTTCACAATAATTTTTTCTGAGCCTAAAACTTTCACAATAATTTTTTTTTGTCACCCCAAATAATATTTTCGATATACTTTTCAACAAAAAAAATAGTTGATTTTTTGGCCCAGTCTTTTGGTATATATTGTCCAGGATTCATGATCTCGTGATTATTTCTTATCTTTTTCAAACCAAATGGACTCTATTTTCAAAGACAGGAAAATTAACTACCAGATTTTTCACTAAAATTATTTGCTGTTGGGTTCAACGTTGAACCCAACAGCAAATAATTTTTATTTTTTGTTTTTTTATTTCCCCCTTATTTTTTAAAATTTTAAAAAATTTTATCTGCTTAGCTGAAAATAATGTTATTATAAGTACATAAAATATAGGTACCTAAAATACCTATTTTATTAAAAATATCACCTAATTTAGGAACCTTTTATCACTTTTTGACCTAAAAATCCGGGCCTTAGTTATAATTTAACCTTAAAATTGACATTTGACAGTTTTATGACAGCCCTGATAGAATAAAGTTTATTTATTACAATAGAGGAGTAAAATGTTTGTTCTTAGCACTTTAAGGACTCTTTTAAGCCTTACTATGAGAAACACAACGTTTAAAATGTGTATAAACAGAGCACAAACCCAAAGCACAAAAATTGTAAACAACAATCATGGCTGCCGTTAAACTGTGCAGTGTTGCAGTGATTTTTTGTATTTTTAGTACGAGATAGAACAGACCTTGTTGTGTGGATTGTGGTTTGATCAACATACAGTTCATTTTTTTTATTTGGACTCCTTTTTTTTTGTTAGGTTGTTAGCTTAACCAGTTTGATTTAATATTTTTAGTAACTATTTTAAAAATGGTACTTCTGCTGAAGTCTTTAATTAAATACTCTGACACTGTCAAATTGACAGTAATATTTATTATTAATAATAATAATAATAATAGTTATTTATTGATTATCATAATTATAAAAATAACAACAATCAAAAGGCCATTGACCTAGGTCCTTCAGCCAAGGTTAATTAAAATATAAAAGTAATGTATGCTAGAGCTTGCATTTCTTCAAGCAGGGATCTTGTAGGATGTTTGATTCGGGTGGGAGCTCTCTCTAGGTCTCTTGGAATCAGTACTGGTGCCAGAAACTGGTAAGCGGCTTCTCTCTGGGCAAAGTTGGTGGATAGTTTTATTAATCTCGCAGAAATTGGGCTGATTTTAAATTTTTCATAAAGGAGGGTGTTGGGAGGGTTGTGGAGTGGATTTCCTGGGTGCCTCATTTTGGTAATTTTTCTCATTGCAGAAGTCTCAGCCACATTCAGGATATTTAAGGTAGATTTTCGGGAATTTAAAAACAGGGAGGGAGCATATTCAAGGATGGGACGGCAGATGGATTTATAAATTATTGATGCCGTTTTGAGATTAATGCCATTATTCTTGTAGGTAAGACATCTAAAGTGGCTGGCTCTGGAGATACATTTCTTTTTGGAAGAGTTGGCATCCCTGCTTAAAATACCCCATAGAGACCTATACAAAATAATCTATCGGGCGCTATCGGATTCTATATGTGCATTTGTCCATGGGTTTTTCCGGATACAGCCCGATAGAAAATGTATAGGAAATTACCTATATAGGCACACCATAACTTTTACATTTTCCCTATTGAGACCGATAGAAAATAATTCAATGAAGGATATATAGGGATATCCCTATAGAGCAACCATAAAACATTTGACAAAATTTTATTAAAACCTATAGGGTCCTATAGGGAAATACTAATTTCTACATTTATGTGTATTTTCCCCATTGAAACCGATAGCAAATAAATCAATGGTGGATATCCCTATAGAACAACCATAAATCTCAACTACGGGTCCTATACAAACCGATACACCCTATAGAAACACCATACATCCCGATACAAATATCTATCGGTTTGAACAGGGTCTCTATAGGGTATTTTAAGCAGGGATGTTCCTTCAGGTTTATTTTGTTGTCAATCAGTACTCCAAGGTATTTAACTGATTGAACTGGCTCAAGTATTTGGTTATTGATAGTAAGTTGAAGATTGTTGAGGTTGTTTCGATGAAAAATAATAAATTTGGATTTGTTAGCATTAATGCAGAGTCTCCAATCCTTAAGCCATTTATTAATGGTAAGGAAAAGCGTTTTTAGCCTTTCAAGGGCAAGCTGTGGTGATTTTTGATGCACAAAGAGTGCAGTGTCATCTGCATATTGTAAAATGTAGTTTGCTTCGCTTGGTGAAAAAATTTGGTTGTGTTCATGCTGCATGTCATAACAATAAATGTTATATAGCAGTGGCGACAGCGGAGAGCCTTGGGGAACTCCCTGTTCCGCAATGAGTGGAGGAGATTTTTGCCCATTAATGCAAACGTAGAGTGGTCTGTTTTCAAGATAGCTGTTGATAAGGTAGATGAGGGAATTAGCAATTCCGATCTTCTTAAGTTTGTAAATAAGTCCTTTATGCCAAACCGAGTCAAATGCTCTTTTGAGGTCCAAGAACAAAGCCGCAGAAGAAAGATTATTTAGCCTCGCAGTTTGTATATTGGATATGACCGCGGTAAGAGGATGTGCAGTGGGTCTGG